GCAAAACGAATGTCCTCATCTGTCCTGAACTGACTGACAACAGACAGAAACAAACAGACTGAAACAGACACAGACAGACAGACAGAAACAGACAGACAAATACATAGACAGACAGACAGATACATAGATGGATAGATAATTTAGAAAATAGCTAAGCAGATGAATGGTGGATGGATGGGAAGATTGTTGAACAAACTGATAGATGAATAGTTGGATTAATAGACAGACAAACAGGCAGACATACAAATAAACAGACAAACACGGTCGGATAGACAAGCGACAAATGGGCAAACAAGCAGATAGGCAGACAGACAGTTAGACAGACAGACAGACAGACAGACCAAAAAATAATACCAAACCAGCAGACAAACGACACGCGCACTTTTTATTCATAATATTGAATTGAATTTTATTCATAATATTGAATTGCCTGCGAGGCGCTTATCTGCAGCATCTCCGAAAGAATTGAAAAAAAAATTTATCGCTAAAAAATTTTTAAATTATGATGATTTTGCTGTGAAAATAAATACAAAAATATTTATAAGGATGATGAGTCTGTGTATATCTCACTTATATTGATGTAACGTTCTATTGACAGTTATTTCACAATTTATGTTCGGCCACTTTCGGTTCATTCAACAGATCGACCGCGAAATTGAAACACGCATCGGCATTTGTTTATTCAGTCGTTCTTCCATTTATTCATTCATTCATTCATTTATTCATTCATTTATTCATTCATTTATTCATTCATCCATTCATTTATTCATTCATTTATTCATTCATTTATTCATTCATTCATTCATTCATTCATTCATTCATTCATTCATTCATTCATTCATTCATTCATTCATTCATTCATTCATTCATTCATTCATTCATTCATTCATTCATTCATTCATTCATTTATTCATTCGTTCGTTCGTTCGTTCTTTCATTCATTCCATCGTCATTCATTTTTTCACTCCATTCAATTTTTTATACAGACTTTTCAATTCTCCAATCATCTGAGTAGTATTTACTTGGTTATCTTATTTATCCATTCTTCAATTTACTGACATAATTTAATTCATTATAAGATCTTTATAATTACTATTAAGTCCACCTTCATAAGTTGAATTATTAACTTATTTCAATTTACTGACCCATTTAAGATATTTTCAGAGAGAAAGAGAAAAAATGAGAAAGAAAGAGAGAGAAAGAGAGAGAAAGAGAGAAAAAGAGAGAGAAAGAGAAAAGGAGAGATAGAATGGAAAAGTGAGAGAACGAGAGAATGAGAAAGAAAATGAGAAAAAACTTCCCCCCCAAAACAAGGAAAAAAAGATACTCGTACGTTATAAATATTTATCGATGTGTCGCTGAATTGTTGTTTATGTGTGGCCCCAGAAGTTCAAATCGAAATATTGCCTCCCGTATTGCTTATGGTCTCTATCTAGGAATTCTTACATCTTCTTTAAGTTTTGGTGTTTTGTGATGCTTGTTGTCGTTCATTTGGCTTTGATTCTTGTTTTATAAAATGTCGTTGCTGCTGTTGATGTTGTATGTTGATCTGTTTCTTTTTCACTCTGTGATGTTGTTGTTGTAGTTTTTGTTGTTAAACATGTTCTATTTTAGGCTTTCTTCCAAGTGATACAAACAGACAAACAGACAGACAGACAGACAAAAAATGAATGTACCAAACCAACAGACAGACAACTCATGTACTTTAATCTTAACAATATTGAATTGCTTGTGACGCTCTTGCCCACGTCATCTCCAAATTTTGTCTTTCATACAAACACACGTAAACATTTCACACACACACACACACACACACACACACACACACACACACACACACACACACACACACACACACACACATACACACACATACACATACACACACACATACACACACACATACACACACACATTGCATGTGATTGGCGGGGATAACTTTGCATTTAAACCCTGTCGACACAACAACAAGAGCAATCGCCTAATGATTTGATTTCTACATAGTTGTTGTTAATTTATAGCACTACTCTGCGCTACATATATGTCCGGCTGTTCAAACACATTCCACTTTTAGTGTCATTGATTCTATTTTCAGTGCCTAGTTTTATTTCTTTGGTCTTTAGATGGCTGACTTTATGTGGAGCTGTTTGGTGGCGTCACCATTATTATTATTATTATTTATTATTATTATTTATACTATTATTATTATTATTATCATCATCATCGTCAACAAAATCATTACCTTCGTATAATTGGCTGGTATCATCATCGTCTTCATCATCGTCTTCATCATCGTCATCATCATCTTCACCATCGTCTTCATCTTCATCATCGTCATCGTCTTCATCATCGTCTTCATCATCGTCATCGTCTTCATCATCGTCTTCATCATCGTCATCATCATCTTCACCATCGTCTTCATCTTCATCATCGTCATCGTCTTCATCATCGTCTTCATCATCGTCATCGTCTTCATCATCGTCTTCATCATCGTCATCATCTTCATCATCGTCTTCATCATCATCATCGTCTTCATCATCGTCTTCATCATCGTCATCATCATCTTCACCATCGTCATCGTCTTCATCATCGTCATCGTCTTCATCTTCATCATCGTCATCGTCGTCGTCATCATCGTCGTCATAATCCTTCCTAGCTACGGAAAAAATGTTTTTATTGCACAAAATGCTTGAACAAAAAGGAAAACACACTATCATTGCTATCCAGATGTTTCAATCCTATGACCAGTTTTACATTACCTCAGTCACGTAGCAAAAAAAATGCTTGTACTTTTTTTAGACCTTAGTAACTTTATTTTACCCTATTAAAACATTTTTAACCTAACGTTGTTAGTTAGAAGGTTTATATCATAGTTATATTCATATTCCATTTTTTCTATAACATTTAAACTTTAAATTAATTAAGCGATTGTGTTCCAGTCTTCCATTTTCTGCCTAACAAAACTTCAACACATTAACGAAGCAGTCTTCTTAATTTCATTGAAAATTTTTCAAATAAATACTAATTGTGAAGTTTGCAACAAATTAACACTAGTTGTAACACATTGTAACACTATTTGTAACACATTAAAAAGAAGTCTTCTTAATTTCATTATAAATTTTTCAATTAAAGAACTATCTGTGTGTGGTTTCTCTTAAACTTAATCTACTTCCATGTTTTCCCTCACCATATCCCCAACACTTCAGAATAAGAGTAAAAAAAATCTATTACACCAAACACAAAAAGATAGAGCGAGCCATTTTAAATGATAAACGTCGAGCCGACCATTGTTGTGGCACACATTAACTCGGTGATAAATAAAGCTGCATTGGTCATGCTGTCCACGGTATGATTGTATTAAATTCTCGCCAGTAGAGCATGTCTGGCCGTTACTCCGTCGTCCAAGGATGTTTTATCTTTAGTTCCTGATGAACTGTTTCAACAAAATGTCAATGATATAGTATCAGGATGATTGGAGTTGTTTTTTTTTAATTTTTATAATTTAAACGGTTTCAACAACGACATTCTACAGCAAGAACAAAACAACAACATTTCTCAGCAGCAACAGCAGCAACAACAACAACAACAACAACAACAACAACAACATTTCACAACAACAACAACAATAGCAACAACAACAGCAGCAGCAGCAACAACAACAACAACAAGGTACAACACAAAAAACCGTCAAAGAAAACATCAAAAATAAAAATTATTATAACTGTTTCTTAACATTGATATGAATTAGTAAACAAACATAGGACTGTTAGCACAATAAACACTTCACAATTATTCTACCAAAGAAGCATCATCATCTTCGACAACATCATCATCAACACAGACAACATCATCACATCATCAGTACCGACAACACCATCATCATCACTACCGGCATCATCGTCATCATCACTACCGGCATCATTATCATCTCCGAAAGCATCATCATCATCACCAAAAACACCATCACTATCACCAGTGAAAGCAAAACTTCAAAATGCACTCACTCGCTTCATTTTGCATACATTTTTTTCCATTGAAATGACAAGATCAGTGATCGAGGCAGCCTTCACATCAAGATTTTCAAAAATTTCAAAATTTCGACTTACTTCCATAAACGTATCAGTCGTATTTTTGGTTTTCAGGGTGATTTTTCGTACGAAGTTTAAGAAATATTTTATAAATTACTGACTCGTGTGAAAAAATATTAAAAAAATTTGGCCTTCTTGTATTTTTTTAGGATATTTGCTTAACAATATTTGTAATTAAACAAATATTTGTGAAAAAATACCTGGGCATTTTGAAATTTGAGTGCCACTACAAAATAAGTTTTTAGGCCTAGTTTTAAAATTCAGTTTACTCATTCATATTCAATTTTTCTTTACATTTCTTGTCCGATTTTTGCCTACCTTGTCAGTTTAAATTTTTTCTAAATATTTTTCCGCGTTCACATTGGGAAATTATTTCACGTCGATCCATAAATAATATATATATAAATAAATTGCTCGATTTTGTTTTCTAAAATTTGCAATTTCAAAATTATTTATTCGAGAAAAAGTTTGCTGCTATCAACATCTGCGTCTAGAACAAAAAGTATCACCACCGCATGTGCAACTAACATAATTTATGCCTCTCAATAACTTACATGCGATTAATCATATAAAAAATGAACTACTCATTCATTCAATCGATTTCTCTATAGTAATCAATCATTCATTCATTAGTCCATTCATCGGTGACTTCGTTTGTTCGTTCACTCGTTAATTCATTCGTTCATTTATTCGTTCACTCGTTCTTTGTTCATTTACTTGTTCGTTCACTCGTTCTTTCATTCGTTTATTTGTTTTTTTCATTTGCTTTTTTATTCATCCAGCGTATTACCATCCTTTCAAAATGATGCATTACCAAACACTTTGACCACTACACTTTTTTATATTGTTGTCGAAACCTCTTAAGAAATTTGTAAAAAAAAAGAATGATAAAAAGAAAAAACCCACCGACAGGTACGGGGACATGACCCCAAAAACGGTGACGGGGAAGATAGTTGGGGGCGTCTGTTCCCTGAGTGGGGTGCTCGTCATCGCCCTGCCCGTCCCTGTCATCGTGTCGAACTTCAGCAGAATCTACCACCAGAACCAGAGATCTGACAAAAGGAAAGCTCAAAAGGTTAGTGGTGAATAAAATGACGACGACGATGATGGTGATGGTGATAGCGATTATGATAATGATCATTTGAAGTGGTGGTGATAATGATGATGATGATGTTGTGATGATGGGGAGAATGGTGATGATAGTGATGATAATATGAACATCTTTGTGGAGCAATACGCATGGCTGTTTCAGAGCCATGATGACGTTGATGGCTGTTTACGAAAAAATGGGATGATGATGATAATGATGATGACCAAATAATGATGATGATGATGATGATGATGATGATGATGATGATGATGATGATGATGATGATGATGATGATGATGATGATGATGATGATGGCCAGATGATGATGATGATGGCCAGATGATGATGATGATGATGACCAGATGATGATGATGATGATGATGGTTGATGGCGCGAATGTAAACTGTCATCTCAAATTTTTCTTCAATGTAGCAATCTACTGTTGGTAATATTTGAACACTCATCTTTCAAAAAAAATATTTTTTTTGGTCATTCGAGTCTGTTATATGATTTTGTAGTTTTGTAAATCGCATAAAGCTTGTGTGTTTCTACAGATAAGTTATTAAGTCTGATAGAAATCTTGTCTCAAATGGTTATCTCCTGATTCTGAAATTGACCGTGTTTTTATAATAATTTACACGGTTTTCATTTTTTAGTTCCTATGTTCAAACACTGAGTGACACTCGTCACATTCGAGTTTCAAGTTTTATAGAAGAAATCTAAAAATCACACATCTTAAATAATAACTTTTTAAAGTTTTTTATTGAAAATGTTTTTAAATTCACTATTGCATCTGTTTGTGAAAGAAAAGCAGGCACTTCTACCACTTGAGCTACCAGGTATTGTAAGATTTCTCGTTTAGCTACTAGGAAAATAATTCGGCTGGAGCACGAGAATGAGCAAGTTTAAAAAACATGTTTGTATGTTTGTATTTGTACGTGTCTGTCTTTGCCGATGTTTGAATGAGTGTATGTGTGTAAGTGATTGTCTGTGTATGTGTATGTATGTGTGTGTGTTTGTGTATGTTACGTTACATCATGTTATGTTATGTAATGCTATTTAGCTATGCAACAATCGAGAACAAGTTTTATTACAACGGCAGGCTATGAGTTTCTCGCTTTTAACGCTTTCCATTGGTTTTTATTCATCTGGCCATGTATGGCCGTATGCTAATAAGATTGCTCAAATATTTTATGGAGTTGCTTGTATTGATCGGATGTGTGTGTGTGTATGTGTGTGTGTTTATGTGTGAGTGAGAGAGAGAGAGAGTGTGTGTGTGTGTATGTGTGTAATGTACCAATAACGATTTTTAAAAATTTGTTTTTGCAAAATCGTTCGTCGCATTGTCTGAAGGAAAACTCACGAAATAACTAACACGCAAATGTAGTTTCCACTGTAAATATTCTCCATCACACGCCAAATCAGTTTGAAAAATGCAAAACCATCCTAAAAAAGAAATAGAATAACATTGACGTCAACATTCAGAAACGGCACGTAACCTTAATAACAAAAAGGTTATTAATAATAAAAAGATTTTTTCAAATCTAAACTTATTAACGATGAATAATAATTGAGACTGGAAGACCGCGAAATGGTTATTTTAAAGTTGGAGTTGAGTTGGCTGGGTTGAGGAGTTGAATTTGCGACTCTCCAGGTGATAATTCACCATGTGCTACAACCATTCAGGCTTGCATACCAAATGTTCACACTTGCACACGTTCGTATCTTTATGCACACGCACATTGTAGATCTGCATAAATTACTTCAATTATACGTATGGATAAGAAAACGAAAAAGAGTGAGAGAGGAAAGAGAGAAAGAAGAAAAAGAGAGAAAGCCAGAAAAAAAGAAGAGAAAACGATAGAAAGAGAGAGAGAGAAAGAATTAAAAAAAGAGAAAACCAGAAGGAGGAAGAGAGAGATAGAAAGATAGAAAAAGTGAGAAAGAGAAATAATAACATTTGCATTATGGCATTCTTGAAGCAATGCATGTCTGTAAATTTTTGATGGATTGAACCTAACCATGTGAATATTTAACAAACCCGGATTTTGGGAGCTATGTGTATGACAACCACGTTTATATGGCGCATACACACACACTCTCTTTCTCTCTTTCTCTCTCTCTCTCTCTCGCACACACACACACACACACACACACTCTCTCACTCACACACATTCACACACACACAGATACACATTCACTAACCGTTTTAATTATCTGCTTTACATAAATGTTTCTATATTTGTTCTGTTATTGTCGAGTATGTTAAAACCGCATGCACCTCTTCTTTTTTGTGAGGTTATTTATTCAACAAAAGATATTCCATGCCGAATACTTCGCCTATTACAAGCGATCCATTAAAAAAACTTTAACGTTTCAAAAGTTGCTAAAATTTTTTTGAAACTTTTTTCCTACACCTTTAAGCTTGAAAATAATTAAAATTCCATAGCACGAACTCTTTTTAGTCCAACTAGCTATTTGCACAATTCAACCATTCATTATTTTCAAATAGTATGTTTGTGTGTGTTTGTGTATCTGTGTGTGCGTGCGTGTGTGTATGTGTGGGTGCATGAAAGATAAAAAAAATTACATTTCCAAAGTTAGCATTTGTCAAACAAACTGACGAAATGGTCTACCTCTTAGAAAAACTGATCCTTCATGATGATCTAGAATTTCAACTTAACGTTTAAAAGTATTTAGCAGATAATATAATTTCTTGGGGTTGATAAGTTGGAAACATTACTACATCGCGATTAAATCCAATTGGGAATGTGTGAATTAAATCTTCATCACATTCGTGATGATTAGCATTTACAAAGGGAATCTGAATTTTTTATACGCCAACAGAATCGATCAATTGTATTTTGGCTGACAGATTAGTTTGAGCGAAAATGTTCACGTACGAAAATAAATCAACTGGATGAAAATGTCTGCTGGCTTAAAATTCTGTCCACAATGTGTTATAATTAATATTAATTAATTAATTTATTTATTTATTCAGGGCCGGATTTGCTCGTGTGAAAGCAGGCCCTGAAACAGTGAAAAATTGGATACCCCTTAATAATTTAGTGGGGATATATAACTATTTGAGAGTGCCTTTTAATTATTTGTAGAAACACCTTATATTTTTAAGTTTAGACTCTAATTTGTTTAGCAATCTCTCTATCCAAACAAGTGTTTTTTGCCGCAAATTATATTTATGTTACATTTACTTACTAACATTTTTACATACAACATATTTTTCCAATTTCCAAGTTTCCAAAGTTTTCAGTTTCCAATTTTGTTTTATAAAATTTAATAAAAAAGAACCTTTTTGGACATTTTGTAAACAGAATAGAATAAATTATTTATAAAAAAAAAGTTGAAAATTTCGTTCATCTAACTGTATAAATTTGTTGAACTAATATTTTATATCTTATCACTTATTTAATAGGTCAGACATGATAAAGCTTATAGGATTTACAATGAAAAATGAAAAGTAGGGTATTTTTATATGAAGTATAATATGTTTACTAGATGTTACTTAGACAAGCTCTCTGAATAAGTACTAGAAATTACTCATATTTAACGACATTACCAGTTGTTACGAAAAATGCAGTAGATAATGCTACCTTAAATCGATTCTTTTCATTCCATTTTATGCTGCCATTCCAAAATTTCTTTGTATCATTAACAGATTTGTAATAAATTTCAAAATGAATTTTATCATCCATCTACAAAATAAAATAAATCACTTTTATGCTAGTCGTTTTCAGATCAAAACGTTTTTTAAAACAATGAATTATTGAAAATTGTCTACACATAGTTTAGTCAAATTTCAAATAATCATCAAGTAAACTAACCAACAAAAACTACTAAAATCTGAAAATACAAAAATGATAAATGTACTAAAACATTTTGCCGAAAAAATTTTTTTGACCGACTGAGGTAATTTATCATTTCAAGTGTATCAGTAATGGCGTTTATACGTCTATGTCCATTTTTTCTCCACCACATTTGCAGAAAGGTTAAATTGACCATCTAAATCATAATAGTCTGTAGTAGTGGTAGTAGATGCAGCCGGGTTTGCCGCGGCAGACGCACGCGTGGTCGGCTTCTTGACGACTTTATAAATTTGGGCAATTTTTTTGTTTTCGTATTAGTGTTTTTCCATTTTTAGCTCCTAATTAAGCTGTCATTATCAAACATACCATTTGTACCGACAGAACTTCTAACATCTTTTTGTGTTTTGTAAACGTTAACATACGAAACGAATAATTTCAAACTAGTAACATTCGCTCACTCTTTATATATTTTAAATTAAAAAAAACTGTATATCATATACTAAATATTTGTAATATGTAAATGTTTTATATTTCAGTCAGGTACAACGTCCTGTATGTAGAAATATTCAGTGAAACAATACGCATACGAGAGCATTTCTCACCAATAAATTACAAAAAATGTGTCATTTATCTTAGGGCAGTTTTTTTTTCTTTTAATCTGCGGGCTGTCGAAACATTTTAAAATGTATCACACTCGTTCAAAGGCACAAATGTTTCACGATTATTCCGCAGAGATCGGCGCTAACTTGGCATCTAATTCCAGTGAATAATTTATTCGGAAATTATTTAAATTTTTTCTCCATATCATCTGTCAAATAGGTTTTTTTTTAATTAAATTTGAAAATTTTTTAACTTCTCATTGTCGGGTCTGTGTCTCAGATACATTATTCGTAGTCGTGGCTAATGTACTGCAGTTGCTGCTGTCACAGACTGATGTTAAGGTCATTTATACGTCATTGTTAAATTTATGCCACTATGGTTTTAGCGGTGACAATAACTTTCTGGTAATGTTGTTGCTGCTTTCATAAACTGATGTCAATGTCAGTTTTAGTGTCATCAGTGTCCGTATAGTGACGCTAATTTTTTTCTTGGCGACATTTGCGTCAGACGCATTTGCTGCTGCTGCTGAAGTTGTTGTTACTGTTAAAAGTTGTGGTTCGCTTGAATAATTGATGCTTTCTCGCTCTCTTAACGTGTTCACCAATCATTCCAATCTAATTTTCCTCTCCTTTATTATTTCTAACATTCCTTCAAACGCACTGCCGCCAGGACTAAGCCATTATTATCACTAAACCTTATGAGGTTGATTATTATCATCTTCATTATTTATTATCGGTAGATTCATACAATACTGTTTAAAATATGGTCTTCTTCCAACACACATCAACACACACACATATATATATATATATATATATAGAAAGAGAGAGAGAGAGAGAAAGAAAGAGAGAGAAAGAGAAAGAGAGAGAGAGAGAGAGAGAGAGAGAGTTAATACATCACAATCAGGGCCGCTAATGTAAAAGCGTTAAGTCGCCCCACGTTAATTGCGAGAATGGTGACGAATGATGACGACGACGACAATGATGATAGATGGCTGAGCAATGAAAGAATCAATAAAGACACTGGTGATGAATGAATAGTGGTGATGAATTCTTACTGATGTCTAACTCTCTCTTGTTGGCCGTCAGTACTACAATTGGTTGATCTGATCGCTAACCCAATAAAGATTAATCCTTATCTCTATCTACGTACCGTACTTTCTAATACCCCCTATCGCAAGGTAACTGAATCAGTCGTTAGCTTTTTTTAAAAAGACAAAAATCTACAAAAAAAGTATATATTATTTTTTTCATTAATTTTCAAATGTTTAAATTCAAAAGGATTATGATGAATAATGGTTATTCAATATTATGAAATCTTAAATTTAGAAACCAGACTCCAAAAAATTTTTTTTAATTTTTCATGTCATTAAAATGATTTATTAGTTTTAATCAAGTTACAAACTTAAATTAGATTAAATCAAATTAAAAGGTGACTGTTAAATGTTCAATTTTGATTCAAATAAACAAAAATACACCCAAACCATGGTTTATTAACACTAGCAATGAAATAAATCTTAATCAACTGTGAACTCTGAAAAAATGTTCATTCATTAATTCAGTGTAAATGTGCATCTAAGGTTACTTGGAAATTTTGAAAATTTTCTTATGTAAATCAGTAATGCAGTTACTAGCCTGCCACCAAACTCCAAACATAACGCACTCCCTACCAATCAGTGCTAACTTTTTGGATCTATAACCAAATTATTTAAAGCTTGTATTGATAGTATCTAAGCTAAATCACTTAGGTAATTAGCTCCTATGAAAAAAGATTATTTTACATTTTGATAGTCAAAAAAAAATGATCATTCTACATTCTTGTATAGACAAGCAAGACATATTCTCCAATATTAAATCAGATAATTTAGAAACTCTCAATATATTAAATGTTCTTTAACAGTCTGTCGTACTACATACATTCCTAATGAATGAACGTCATGACGAAAGCCAGGCGGCACCTATTCGCCAGTGAGCAAAAAATTTTGTAATCACGTTACACCTATCCCGCTTCATTGCACTGGAGTTATACTCTGCTAATTATCCTATGTTGTGTGTGTTTGTGTGTATATGTGTGTGTGTTTGTGTGTGTTTGTGTGTGTTTGTGTGTGTGTATAATTCTCACGCACGCAAGTTAGTTAGTTAACTTTCGAAATGAAGATGTTTTGAAAGATTGGAGCTGTAGTTTTTTTTATTTGTTCTTTCAATAAACTTCATTGAATTTGTAAAAACTTAACTTAAAAAGATGCTAACTACCTTTGAAAAATGTAGAAAACCATTTTTTCAATAAAACGTTATTAGGTGGGTGAATGGAAGAGTTCATCATTTGGACGGACGAATTAACGTCACATGATGTGATGAGCTGATGAATAAACCAATGGATAAATGGATGGTTGATTGGATAGGTAGATGGATGGATGAATGCGTGAAAGGATAGATAGATAGATTGATTGATAGATGGATTGATTAGATGGATTGATAGATAGATTGATGAATAAATATAACTACATGCATGTGTGTATGTCCGTTTAGAACAAACTGTTGGTCTGATGGACCTATGGTTAAAAACACACAACTGAGTTGTCGTATATAAGAATTGGCCATGTTATTCTATATATATATATTCCTATATTAAATTCACATTCAAATATTTTATTACTATTTCTCTAGTTCAATACCCACGCTTTGAAAATATAAACAATTTCTTTTCAACATTTTAATATAAACAAGCAATGAAGCATGTAGTGGATAGCAACGAAATGGAAAAGAATTGTAAACTACCTCATGGCATCTAGGCTGGTGCATGTAATGAAATCTAATCAATCTTGACAATCTGCTCCAATGTTATATGAACATTTTATCAGAATGTTCTTGGCTCAGGACCAACATTGTGATATGAGTTATTTGTCGCGAATTCGAACTTATATCATATTTAGACGTGATTTGAATGGAGTTTTTATGTTTTCAACATTATTTTATATCTTTATAATATTTAGTTTAGTAATTGTTTAAATTTAGCATTAAATGAAAATGATATTTAAAAATTAGTTCTGTGGTGAAAGAGTTATTGTTTTAATAAAATTTATCGGCATGTAAAAAATGGCAAGATGGACAATAAATAACAAATACCAAAACAATACAAAGCCATACAGAAAAATTACTAACATAAATTAAATTAATGAAATTGCAACAACCCAAACAGAAAGCCCGTGCCACACGTCTCCACAACATGCGAAATTCAGCCATCAAGAACTTCATGACTGGGAAAGCCAGGACGGAGAAGTTGGTGTATGAGTTGGAGTCAGGTCTGAAAGTGGACGAGCTGAAAAATGAAGACCTCTTCCAGATACAACATCATCATCTTCTTAACTGCTTAGAAAGGGCAACTGTGAGATATAACATTTTTATGATTTAACTTAGTTTTTGTTGGTGTTAGTTTTACGGGAAGTTTTGTTTGTTAATTTAATTATGTGTTTGTTGTTGGTGCTATCAATGTTTGTTTGGTGTTTTTTTTTTATTTGAAATCAGAATCTGAAAAATTATCGTTTTAACAATTATTACTATTATACAATATTCATTATAGAAGAATTCCTACAGCTCCTTTTATGAAAATTTTTCGAAAGCGCTTTTAAAATAATAAACGTTCATTTGAATCAACATTCTGGACAATGTGATTGTCGGCATTGAACGCCTTGCCTTTAACTTGCACACGCTCAGACTAGAAACACTCTTTAACAATCACATTTGCGAATTTTGGATCAGCACAAAGACGAAAACAACATTTGTATATTTAAGTTTATTTTGCTAGATGGTCACTGACATGAATGTGTTTGCTTGTTTGGTTTGGTTCGTAGCTTTGAAAATGTAACAGTAGTAGTAGTAGTAGTATTAGTAGTAGTAGTAGTAGTACTAGTTGTTGTTGTTGTTGTTGTTGTTGTTGATAAATATTTATTTGAATTTTGCAATTTAATAATGTTTTTGTTTGAACTTATGTCAGATTGATGAATGCCAGCGAAAATTAAATTAACATCGTTGGCTTTGAATACAAATGTTATTAAATATCGTTATTTATTGCTGTAGTATTGTCGTTGTAGATAATTCACGCATTATTTTTGCTGTCGTAATACGGGTTTTATTTATCTGCGAATGTATGTGTATTCTTTTTTTTTTTTGTTTGTTTCCTATATGTTCATCTATATATGATGGTATCAGTGTATGTGTGTTTATGTGTGTGTGTATGCGTGTATGTGTGTGTTTCTACTTGTATGTGTGCGTGTAAATAATTACATGCGTGTGTGTGTGTGTATCTGTTTATATACATGTTAGGGTATTGAGTGTGTATGCATTCATTTATGTATGTATGTTTGTATGTATGTATGTATGTATGTATGTATGTATGTATGTATGTATGTATGTATGTATGTATGTATTTATTTATTTTGTTATTTATTTAGAAATATTTATATAGCGCAAATTAAATACCTCAAAGGCGCAATCAAAAAGTGAAACAAACAAAATACCTGTGCGTGATCAACATGAATTAAAATATTCAAATTTAATGTTTATCAATAGAAAATAAATATGTATGTACGTACGCATGTATGTATGCATGCTTGTATGCATGTTTCACGTATGTATTTGTGTGTGCGTGAGTTCAAGTATGCGTTTATATATGCATGTTTGTGCACGCGAATGTGGCGTGCAGTCGCGAGTTATCATTGTTTTCTCTTTTGATTTATCGCAAGCGCAGTTTTCATAAGGGAGTTGTGGTTTTTGTTCTGATTTTTACTGCTCTATTATGTAATGTTGTTGTTGTTGTTGCAACAATCCTGATGCACATTTCCTGTTGAGTTGCTGATGTTGTTGTTGTCTGGCTCCTGTCGCTATTTATTGTTGCTGTTGTCGTTGTTGTTTGTGTTGCAATTGCTGTTGTTGATGTTGGCGTTGTTGTTGCTTTATTATTATTATTATTGTTGTTGTTGTTGTTGTTGTTATGATGCTGTCGTTGTTTTGTTGCTGTTTGTGTTGCAATTGTTGTTGTTGATGTTGACGTTGATGTAGATGTTGTTGTTGTCTTGGTTGTTGTTGTTGTTGTTATCATACTTCTAAGGAGGCTATTTTATAGCCGTAGAGACTTTGGAAACAACAACACTGCAAAAATAATAATAAGAAATAATCATGAATAATAACAAAAATAAATTATAAATAATAATAACAATAAAAATAAGAATAATAATAGAAATTATCGCCATGATTTACTACATCTAGTGCCACAATTACAACAACAACTCAATAGAGTCGTTGTTATTCTTGATAATGCTTTTTTTGGGCTGTAATAATAATTATTATTATTGTTAGTATTATTATTATTATTATTATTATTATTATTATTATTATTATTATTATTATTATTATTACTTATTCGGTGACAAAAATTTGAAGCCCCCCATGTTTTTTTTATTTAAATTATTTTTGTAAACTGATTAGAACAAGTCACCACAACTCTTCAAACAGGACAGAGAGTTCACTTTCACAACTCAGATGACCACATCGGCCACCGAGGACACACCGCAGAGGGGTAAGAACGACCCCCACCACCAGCAAACCACCCCCCTACTGAAATCTTCACAGCATCACATCAAGGGCTCCATCCCTGTCATCAGAAAATCATCTACATCTTCCTCACTGACCTCATCCTCTTCCATATCGTCGCCGCGACAGCCTCGGTCGCTTGTCGCTAGTTGTTGCTGCTTGTCTCTTGAGGTTGTGGTTGCTGTTGTTGTTGTTGTTGCTGTCAATTAGGTTGTTGTTGTGGCTATTGTTGTTGTTGCTGTTGTTGTTTTTGTGGTCGTCGTCGTCAATGTTGTTGTTGTTGTGGCTGTTGTTGTTGCTGTTGTGGCTGTTGTTGTTGCTGTTGTGGCTGTTGTTGTTGCTGTTGTGGCTGTTGTTGTTGCTGTTGTGGCTGTTGTTGTTGCTGTTGTGGCTGTTGTTGTTGCTGTTGTGGCTGTTGTTGTTGCTGTTGTGGCTGTTGTTGTTGTGTTTGTTGTCGTCGTCGACAATTTTGTTGTTTTTAATGTTGTTTTAATGACGTTTTTATTTGGCTGTTGTTGGTTTTGATTATGTGGTTTTTTTATGTCACTAAATTTCAATGATTTTTAAACCATCACAGCTTGTATATCTGTCGGTCTTATATCTTCACAACATTGAACTTCCAGCAACATTGTTGACAGCAAATCTTTTAGCGCGTGTTTTAAAATATTTCCTTGTTGAAAATTAAAACGGTTTTTTTATGGATATAATGAGAAACTTTTGAAAGAATGAATACGATAAGCTCATGATACGTTACACTGAATTGAAACAAGTTAGACAACTAACAACAATGCAACACACACACACACACACACGCACTCACACACACACACACACGCGCGCACACATAAACACACACACACACGCGCACACACACACGTTGGCAGGCAAGATGAAAGCAGCACGACTTCACTAACTAAACCTCTTTAGCCACGTAGCGTTCATGCTCAACATATTTTTCGCATAACTCCTTGTTAAGCTCGCTTCTGAGCATTTCACGAAACCATCCCAGATGTGCCTGCTGTCCTGGCTGTCTGCATGCATTCACCTTTATTGTTATTTCTCTACTCTAACATAAAATTCCTCCACTTTTACACGCAATTCCTCAACCTCTCACGTAATTTTTTCTCTTTCTAATGCGAGATCTTACGCAGGTCAAAATTTTTATGCCTAAAACAAAGCGCTATGTTATTAAAATCAATTTTTACGTCATCGACGTTTTGTTTTTTTTTTTATCACGTCATCAAATACAATTAATTCACAAAAATGGTGCTCTCTCCCTCTCGCTCTCTCTCTCTTTTTCTCTCTTTTTCTCTTTCTCTCTCTCTCTCTCTCTCTATCTCTCTCTCTCTCTCTCTGTATATATATATTTGCTTATATAATTGAAATTGGTTGATGTACATTTTTTGATTGTTCGATAGTTTTTTTGAGAAAGTTGACGAGCCCAAATTCTCCCTCTCTCTCTCTCTCTTTCTCTCTTTCTCTCTCACACACACACAATCAATAGTAATAGTAGTAGAAGTGGTAGTAGTAGTAGTAGCAGCAGTAGCGTAGTAGAAATAGAAGTAGTAGTAGTAATAGTAATAATAATAATAATAATAATAATAATAATATTGTTTGTACGTGTGTGTAGTTCCTATTTTTGAATACAATTAAAGTTTTCATGATCATAATAAATATTTTCAACTTGAGATATGATTATGCGAATGGTTATGACAATGATGACGACGACGATGGTGTTTTACAAAGATGAGGATAAGATGACGAGACGATGATGATGTGGTGACAAAAACTGATGATGGTAATGGAGATGCTGCTGCTGATGGAATGGTGTGACGACCCGTGTGACGGGGCAATGCAAATGATGACGTTGTACACATAGTGCATGTTCATTGTACGTGCACATGTGTAGTACGTCGTCTCAATCAATAGCGACCGCTGGCCGCTCACACAACATGCTTCGTAAAATTTTTCACTGATCGATATATAATCAATAGAAACTAATTGATTTCCATTGAGAAACTCAAAAAAACTGACATTAAACATAATATAACACAACTTCCATTAAATACATAAACATACAAACAAAGATACATACATATATACGTACATACAAACATACATGCATACATACATTCAATATTTACTCCTACAAACATATGTATACATGCATGCAAACATAGACATACATACATAAACATACATACATACATAAAAATTCATACAAACATAATTATACATACTTGAACATTACAAATATAAACCAACATAGCCTACAAATAACGTACAATCAAAATGAAACTTATATTCATTTACCTTCTACTAATGGCAAGTTGGCTTGGAACGACTATATTTTTATCACATTAATTTTGCTAAAAAATACGAGCCACAGACAAATTGCTTTATGCTGAAATGATTTTCATTCATGGAACAAGCCCTGACTTAGCTATTTCATCGTTGCGCCGAGTTAGGCTCCGTCTTTCTTGTGTCTCATTTCAATTCTTTCCTCTACAACATCACTGATCACTTTTTTTTCGTTTTTTATAGTTTACAAGATAGTTCAAACTAAATTTCGTTTATTATAGATTAGCTAATTTAAATAAATTGCTAAATGAAACACCAGACGTCAGCTGAATAAATTGCTAAGAATGACAGTAAAATTTCTTTAACAAATCATCAGTTTTACCAAAAACCTTCCCCAACCCTTCACCACACAGAAATCGGGACGTCAGCATCACCACCACACCAACCTCACCGAAGAAACTCCGAACGCGAGTCCTGCAATCAACACCCAATCACATTCCTACACGTCGCAGCAACAAGCTCAGAAGCAGCAGCAGCAGCTGCGTCAGCAGCAGCAGCAGCAGCTGCAGCAACAACAGCATCGCCACAGCGGCAGCAACAAAAACGTCCTCAGCGAGGATCAGTTTTACATCGAAAGAGACTGCGTGGAAGGCTGCAGCATGATGATTCCCTCCCAACTTGCCATGAAGTACTCACAATTTGGCTGCCAGGCTGGCGTCCTACCTACCTTCGTCAGCGTCCACTCCTCAACAACTACTCACCGATACAATATCGAGGCCATTCACAACGACCAAGACTTTGACGGTAACAACATCGAATTGTTAAATGAGAAAATTATCGACGATGGTAAGACTAAAAAACGTTCAAAAAGCTCTTTAAATGTCGTTGCCCCGAGCGATCAAAAATTGCAGACACAACAGCCACCGTCGTATAGCCAAGCACATCAGCAGCAGCAGCAACAGCAACTACAACAACCACAAGAAAACGAACTAATTTGGCAACAACGACATGGTGAAAACCAGCCAATGAAAAATTTGAAAAAAGAAAAGAGAAATTCTCGCGTTTATAGTTCCTCGGTGCAAATTGAAACTTCAAACAATACAGTCGTTAATACAAACAACAACAGCCACACCAGCAACGCCAACAACAACACTTACAACAACAACAATGGTAATAATAACAACAACAACACAGGCCCAACATTCGACGATGACAGCAACACAAACAACAACAGCACAACCAATAAAAGCAATATAAAAACAAACAATCAAACTGACTTTAGAACACAACAACAAATGTATCAGCAGCAGCAAGCTTCCAAACAATGTCAACATCGACACCACCGCCACCAGCGACACCAACCACAGCCACAGCCAGAACAGCTAATAGCCGACGAACAAGAGAAGCACACGTGGCTACGACAGCAACTACCACAACCTCAGAAGCAGGCAGAACTTCAGCAGCTAACGCAACAAACCTACCCCCTCCAACAACTTTCAACAACATCTCATCACAATGCCACTCTCAACAACAAAGCCAGGCAGGCTTTTTATAACACTTAACGAAAGCAGCAGAAGTAAAAGAAGACACCGAATGAACTTGTTGTTCAGTTTTTAAAAACTTGCTGTTTCTTACAATTTGGCGTTTATATCCTTCTCTTTGTGGTACCGTCGAGAATTTTTATTGCATCGTTTTATATTTATTATAATATAATTTATAATATATTATAATATAATTTATAATATATATATATATATATATATATATGTTATATGATATTATCATAATTTTACACGGTCGGCGTTTTAATCTCATTAACAAACTCCAATCAACTACCATAGCTACATATAACTTACATTTTAAAATGTAAATTTTTGTTTGAAGAACAAATAGTTGAAGAAAAGTAATAAATTGAATTGATGAATTAATGAATTAATGCATCAATGAATTAGTAAATTTATGGATTAATAAATTGATCTATTGTAATGGAAAGCGTCAGAAATTTAGCAATTCAATTGACTAAAATTTAGTTTTGAAAAGTTGTTGTCGCATATTATGTATTCTTATCTATCTCAGTATCTATCCATCAATCTTTGATATCAATTATCAAGTATCTATCCATCAATCTTTAATATCAATTATCAAGTATCTATCCACCTATCTATAATATCAATTATCAAGTATCTACCCATCTACATATGATATCAATTCACAAACTCATGATTTCAAAAAATTGTTTCAGCAGTAAAGATACATACACATTCATACATTAGAAAGAACGAGAAAAAGAAATAAAATGAAAGAGAGAAGGAGAGAGAGAGTGAAAAAGAGAGAGAGGACAAAAGCCATGGCTGTTTATAGTAGATAGGAGCTATACATTATGACTACTGTTGTCAGTTCCATTCAAAAGTTTTTCCAAGTGAGAAAATTGAACGCGAATGACATCATTCAGAAGTTTTTTCCACTTTGTTGTACATGGAAAAACGAACGCGTGTGGCATATTTGTTTTCAGCATGTGTATTCAGACTACCGATACATATGTTTTGATCTTTTCATTATACGAGATGTTTGTTTGTTTGTTTGGTTGGTTGGTTGTTTTGTTTGTTTGTTTGTTTGGTTGTTTGTTTGTTTGTTTGTTTGGTTATTTGTTTGTTTGTTTGTTTGAAGGTTTTTTTTGTTGTAACGCATTGTAAGCAGAGTTCTTGTCATTGCAGCATTTTGGTGTTAGGTTTTAAGTTTTATCGTTCGAACATTGTATTGGTACTTTTGAAAACTATACTTGAAACAACTAACGTTTCTCTCCTTCTCTTTTTATTCATCTCTTTTCTTCTCTGCCTCTATTTACAGCAAAAATTAATCTGTTCAACTTGGAAATATAAATATTTAAACTAAATTTTCCCCACCGATCTCTAAAACCATCAACAAATTTTTAAATGAAGAAGACTTTGGTACTTGGCTCAATTTTGCAATGCACTTGTGTGTGTGTGATGTGTGTGTGTGTGCATGTGTGTGGACCATGTATGTGTGTGTTTATCTGTATATGATGTTCATTTATGAATCTTTGTGACAAGGCTCCCATGTTAAAGTATGTGAGTGTATTTATGTATATATTTTAATTTACTTTTTTGAAGTTGGTTATCGGTTTGATGTATTTGGATTTTTTTTATAGTTCACTTATCTGCTAGTTTTTTTTTGTTAAATGATTGTTTTATTGATTGATTTATTAGTTACAAACTTGTGTAACTTGTATAAATATATATCCCATGTTCTATTTGAAACATTCATGCACTGAAACAAACAAACTCTTATGACGTCATCCTTGATGATCTGCTAGCTGACCAGTAGCGTTGCAGCATCCAATATCATGTGTGCCTCCCATGTAATATTTTCCCATGTATTAAACCCTACATTATTGGATTGTGTTCGAGTCTGCAACTGCAGTTTGACTTTGCAAGTATTTTCTACTTTATTTCCTTCTTTTTCAATCATTCTCGTTCTTTCTCTTTTCATGTTTTTGGTTAGTTTTGTTGCGTTTGGTTAGTTTTATTTGTGGTGTCTGCTGCGCTTATTTTTGTCTTATGGAGTTTTTTTTTAATAAAAAGCCATTTTAATAAATAGCCATTTTTATAAAAAGTCTCGAATGTTCATAAACAAATTTGCAACAGATAGTAACTGCGATTTTTATTGAAGAAAGTCTACAGATTGAGATGCAAATTTGGGATTAACTTTTGAAAAATGACATTTTGTTTTATTGGAGTGAACAATTTCGTAAATTTTATTGATCTAAAATTTGAAAAAATTTAATTTATCAACTATTTAATTTAATATAAAATCAATTTAAATGTTTGAAACAATTTCATGTTTAAAAGTTATTAATCTTTTTATAAAAAAATACATACATTTATAAAACAAATACAATTTTATTTAACAATGTGTCGAGCAACGCACATTAAGTTATTTGCAGTTGCCGGCTTGGAATGATGTGGCAGAAGATTTTTTCTGAAAAAAATTGTTGATGTTGATGTTCTTTCTTTGGAAATGAAAAAAACAAAAGTTTTGAGTTGAGTTGTTTAATGCGCTGCATAAATATTCAGCTTATTTTGGTCACGCAATGTTCATATGAATGACTCTCAGTTTTTTTGGAATTTCTTGAGGGTTTTTATGTTTTCGTTTTTTTTTGTTGGTGATGACAACAATATGTTGGTTTTGATTTCGCTATGAATGTAGTGCTTGTTGTGTTTTAAAGATGTGGCTGCTGATGCTAAATTTGTTTCTGTTGATTCAACCGTTCAAGTTTGAATGAAGAGAATATATGAAAACTATATTTACTTCAAAATAACTTCAAGCAAACAAAATTTTTAAAAATGCCACACATTAATTTTGTTGTTTAAATTTTATCGCATTCAAAAAAAACTATGCGAAAAACGATTTAAAAACTGTTGTTGGAATGTGTATCTAGTCTCAAAAACATTCCAAGTTCTGATACCTTATGATGATAAACAACTTGAAAATTTATCTAAGCAATGTTACTTGGAAGCTATTTCTATGTTAAAATAAAACAAACTAACTAAAATGGCACTCCCGACAAAGGGGATAAACATTCAGAAGACTATAAAGACATATGAAATAAACAGAAAACAGAAAATTAAGAAGCACACAGAAATGAACGATCCAGCACTAGCTACATGGAAAACTTCCGGCGAGAACATCGCACGGATCTGAAGTGACGGACACGGAACGGCTGCTGTCATCAGACGAGGCATGCACATCAGACATTCGGAACAAAGTTGGCGAAACATTGTAAGGAGTCGACTGATGCTGCCGATGTTGATGTTGGGGTGACGCCCGTACGAAGCTGCTGTTGCATCTGCATTAGCCACAACATTAGCAGGCAGATCAGCAAAGATCCCATGGTTTATTTCTGTAATTTCAAGTTTGGCTGGCTGGTGTTGTGATGTATATCTCGCAAAATTTTTTCCTTAGCTTATGTGTACCATTTGTACACTCGTGTTTGTTTTTTTGTTAATAAATACAAATATTAAACAAATATTAGTTGCGAATAAACTTTTAGGCGCATGAACGCGCGTAAAAACGCATTAATATTTGAAGGTAGGCGGGTTCAGGCTTTAGTATGTTTGAATTATTGAAAACTACGTGCGTACCTTCATACATATTTGTGTGTTTGTTGGTTTTCGCGATGAGTATGCCCTTGTTTGTATTTTTACGCGTATTATTTGTATGTGTGATTGTTTACTTGAAGGTTTTATTTTTAGTACCTTTGTTTTTTATTACTATTTGTGTAAAAACTTGCATCCGCGCTCAAAATTCTCCATTAGTTTGTATTTGGATGTGATTCGTTTTGCTCCAAGCCTGTTTTGATGTGCTTGTGTTAAAGGAACTAACATTATGTATAGCTGTATATTTGTATTAAACTGTTTTGTATTCACTTGTATTGCAAATAATTGTATTGTATTAAATTGTTTTGTATTCACTTGTATTGTGAATAATTGTACTGTATTAAATTGTATTGTATTCTGGTTTATCGTCTTGTATGTTCATTTTTTTTTACAAACATTTTCAATTAGGCATGTATTCCCAAGTGTGTCCATGCAATTTAAATGAGAATTTGTTCGCAGAGAGTTTCCTATTTATGCATCCGTCGTTTTTAGGTCATGAACTCCTCTAGGTGTTTTTTTTATCTAAATTTATGGCTTACTAATAATTAATGCACATAAATTATGCAAATGTGTGTGTATTTATGTTAATGATGTGAATTATTTTGGAGTATATAAAACTACACTCATACCTGGATTTTACGTACGTGCATGTATGCTATATATATATATATATATATATATATATATATATATATATATATATATATATATATACACACTTAGTACGTTCTTGGTACTTATACATGCACCATTATAAACATGTTGTATATTAGTATATATACTTATCATATGTTCAGTAAACAGTATACACACACATACACGGACATATAGACAAATAATACATACGCGCACACACACAAAAGCAAAGAAACACACAAAAATAAATACGCTCACACACAAAGAAACGCACGCACACACACACACACATACATACACAGACACTCACACAAACACAAACATGCACGCAACTCCATCTTGAAAATGCTCAATTTTTAACACTAGATATATGATGATCATAAACCACGCCGCTCTAATTTTAAAAGTCGAATTACACAAATACCGAATTTACATTTTAATAACTACAATGGTGATTATGATGATGATGAAGACGATGATGATGATGGTGATGACGATGACGATGGTGATGATGATGACAATGGCGATGATGATGACAATGGCGATGATGATGTGGTGGTATTTAAGGTAATAATGATGATGACGATGACGTCTTCAGTATTTAAAATGAATTAATAAATAATTGTGTAAAAACTTTTCCTGATATGAAGCAACATTAAACTATGCACTCATTCATCAACTCATTCTACCAGTTAAGACATGTACTGCAAAAAAAGACTTATCTTATCACCAACATACATTTACTGACTCGTTTAATTAACTAATTAAATGACTAATTAATTGACTAATTGACTAATTGATTAATTACAATTAATTGATTAATCTTCTAAGTATCGGTATAATTGAATGACCTTCTAAAGACAATCGTCAATTTTCTACATACTCAGATTTTTTTTCAAATGTTATTAATGTGTACATACATACGTTTCTTTCTATCTCACTTGCGTTGCAAATAGACAAATATATAATGCATTGACTTTCATTGTAAATATTTAAAATCCCTAACACAATGTATATATATATACATATATAGAAAGAGAGAGAAAGAAAGAAAAAGAGAGGAAGAGAGAGAGAAAGAGAGAGAGAGGAAGAGAGATAGAAGGAGAAAGAGAGAAATAGGGAGAGAGAGAGAAGAAAAATAAAGAAAGAGAGAGAAAGTTTTAAAACAGTGTATATCTTGACAATAGTGACAAAAGAGAGAGGTGAAAAGGAAGACAGAGAGAAAGAGAAAGAGAGAGGGAAGAGAGAGAGAAGAGAAAAAGAGAGAAAAGGTAGAGAGAGAGAGAGAAGAAGATAAAGAAAAAAAATTTTTTTTAATTGTGATACGTGTTCGTCCTAATGACATCTGCATTTCAGACAATTTTTTCCGAAGCAACTTAAGATTCATTCATCTCCACGCCATGTAAACACGTTTTCTCGTTAAATTACGACAAGTCGGTTTTTTTAAGTTTTTTCTCTGATTGAATGTACAAATTGAACTATTTCGTTTCTAATTAATTATAATTATAAATATTATTAATTTTATTTAATTATTTTGTTTTATATTTACTAATTTTCAACAAGATTTTATTAATTTTGTATTTAATTAATACATAATTCTTTGATATATTCTTTTTTTATTTATATTTTGTGTTTTTTTTCTCTCATTCTCATTCGAAGTATGTCTAAAATAAAATAAAAATAAAATGTAAGTGCATGTGTGTGTGCGTATGTGTCTGTAGAGTTATCAACCAAAAAATTAAAGTGATAAAATTGTTTGTAAGACTATATCGTTAAAAATTTTAAGCTGGGGGCAGTGGCAGACCCAAGAGGGGCCTATGTGAGAATTTTATTACCTTATGCTAAACACACAACAAGTAGAATTAATACTATTTTGTCTATATATTCTGTTTTTTTATCTTTATTTAATTCATATTAACTGTTATTTAGAGTTAAGCAAAAATTAGTGGGCACCATGATAATCTGATGTAAAATGCTAATAAAAATTTGTATGTTGCACAAAAGATACTTCTCTTTTTTCAATTTGTTTTCTTGTTTGCTTATGTTTTAGGAAATTTATTGCCCCGGTGTTTCGAAATAATGCACAAATGTTGTTTTAGAATTTAGATGGATGTTTTTTTATTCACCTGCTTGTTAGAAACAAAACATTTGGACCATTGTTTATGCTTTGTAGAGTTGATTTTAATGAAATCTTTTTAGGATAATTATGTTAACAGACGAACTGGAGTATCACAGTAACAAATGAGTTACAGTATTTGGATAACAATGATAACGAACTTTGAAAACCAAGATCAAATTAAAGCGCTTAAAAATGTGTCATCCTTAAATCAACACATCTACAAACACTAGCACAAAAACCAACATGAACCAACGACAAACCAACAAACGAACGAACAAACAAAACAGCGAAACAAACAGGCAAGCAGACAAACAAGAACACGTATTAAGATAGCCCCGCAATACTGTAGATTTGATATTGTCCGGCTGGCATGATGACGAACGAGTAACCAACCTTGTTAACAGTTTATGCATATCGACGCGAGCTGAGGCTCTGCAGATAACCTTTCGCACAAAGCTTGCAGAACAATTTATCCATGTGAACTCTCGTAACGATTGTGGATGCAACGGCTGTGGTGGTGGAAGTTGCCTCCGACGCTTCCATTTAAATAGTTGTCGGTCGTTTGTTTTTATTGTTCTAAAACATTATTATGTGCCACAATGTGACTACAAGAGCGTTTGCATCACTAGCCCATTCTGGGTACAATCCTTTTACATTAAACCAATTTGCGAGAATTGAATTCAATTTTCGATAAATTTTCTCGCTCTTTGAAATTAAACTACGGTTAACTGTAAGCAATTAATTCAAAAATAATGATAATCTTTCATAGAAAATAGGGGAATAAATTTTTATTCTCACGTTTAGATATGAACCCCGCGAATAAAATTGTGAATAAAATGGATTAAAAAAAATTAAAAAATAAAGCAGTGATTGCACAGGCAATAACTTCATCCTAAGGCTGTATGATTTAGAGATACTAATTAATATTACGAATTCAACATCAGCCGCAGTTAACCCAAGTCGCAGTTTGTTAACACTCAGTCGTTGATTTAAGATGAATAGTGAATTAAATTAATTCAACAATGAATAAAACAATACTACACTCTGATTTTAAGAGAGTTAAGCAGTGAGCAAGCCATGAATGAGGCCGTTATAAATAAATGAATATATAAATAAATGAATACATTTAATAGACACAACAATGTGACTACATATGTTGGATAATAATTTTGAATATTGCCTAGATCAAATCAAGTTGTAGAGGTATGTAACAGGCGAAATGTTCACTTTTCAACGCCTAACAGTTTTGTTAAGACTTTCTAAAAGTTATTCTAGCTGTGAAGTTTAATTAGACAAATGCATTATCGAAAGAGATAATAGATTAGTATCAAATGAATTAAATAGATTAGAACAAATGAATAAATTAGTATTTCTCATCATAACTAGTAGCAGTATTTTATTACAATATGGTTCATTTACGAGTGCAATCAGTTGCTATCAGTGTGATGTTGATACTCCGAACTGCGGCGAGCCCTTTGTATCAAACGGGGCGGGTGTGACCACATGTCAGGGGGCCTACTGTGTCAGTAGTGTATCTGTTAGCGGTTCGTACCTCAACTATTTTCATATTAAATTTGTATTTCCAGAATTTCCAGATTTCTAAAAAATGCTTCTTGTTAAATTTTTTCGAGTAAATTAAAATTGATGGTGATAATGTAAATTAATATTTCCACTGATTAGAAAAAAAATCTGTTGATTTGTTAAATTCTCCATACACAGCGCAGTTTTGTGCTAATTTAACCATTAACTCTATTTATCTCACCAGCCAGATTATGGAATAGTTTACGTAATGGCGTGATTTCGCTTTAACCAATCGCACATAGAAGAGTGTCAATTCTAAAACTAACTCTATATTATTTCAGAATCATTTCAAAACGAGTCAAATTGAAATTTTAGCCAAAGGTTCAACCGGCTTACGAACGTGTAGTAATGGATATGAAAAGGCCCTAGGATGTATCGAAACCCAGCACGGTGACATCAAGATCATGGGCTGCGTTTGCGATACAAATTTCTGCAATGGTTACGAATATAGCCAGGGTACGTATTGTCAAAAATATTCATTTAAATTATGATTACAGATTTATTTGAATTTAATACTGAGACGTTTATGATAAGATAGGTGAAAAATATTTCGTGCTAAAACACCGAACGTTTGTACAAACGCATGAATCCATGCATATGGTTGAAGAAGATTCCTTTCGCATTCGAATCCAGTCATTGCAACAGTAGTGACAGACACTTTAACCACTACACCAACTAGTTGAAAACTCTATCTCACCAAGCAGGAAGTAACGCGGGTAAGCTGAGTTGTTATAGCTGCGTGGCTGATCAGTGTAAACTTCCTGATGTCCAGAAGCCAGCCTGCAGTGGCACAACATGCTTCCACACGTCATCCACTCTCTCAAGTAGGTATAAATTTCATACGGACATAATTCGATTATTTATATCTAGTCTTAATTAATTAGTTAATTTATTCATTCATTCATTCATTCGTTCGTTCGTTCATTCATTCATTCGTTCGTTCGTTCGTTCGATCGTTCGTTCGTTCATTCATTCATTCATTCATTTATTCATTCATTCATTTATGTTCATATAGGATGAATGTTAATTTTTCACAATTGAAAATTTTTAGACTTAAATAAATGTTCGCAAATAATCGTCTATTTTTCTTCATTTAACTCGCAATTCTTCGTACAGGTCAGGCAGAAGTATTTGGATGTAGTGACCAAAAATACGCGACAACTTGTGTCAACGATGACCCAACTACAAAAACCTGCTACTGCAGTGCCGATTGGTGCAACACTGACTCATACACTCTAGCTACTTCTTCGACGACCACTACTACTACAAAATCGCCTGGTCAGTATCGTACTTACTACAAGTCGTTTTTTTGATGTGATTAAATTTTTTGAAAGGAAAGTTTTTTTTTCTGTTTAGCTCCCACAAAATAACTAAGTAGAAAGTTGATTTTTTTTTAATAAGAATTTGATGAGCAATGGTTCTCAATGGGTAAAATCTTTTGTGTAAAACATAATTAAAGTAGAAAAAATTGTAAATTACAAACTATGAAAAATTAAACTATAGTCATGAATATAAAACCTGACGTACGAAAGATTAAATTTAACCCAGTAAAGCCATTAGTGACCTGTTTCGAATGTGGCGGATTGAACTGCCAAGGATCTGCCATCACGATCCCGCAGTGCATAGGGACATCGTGCGTGGAAGTTAATTCCGTTCATGATCAAGGTTGATGGCTTTTGTTTTAGTCGTCTCTCTCTCCCCCTCTTATTCTCTCTCTCCTATTCTTTCTCTCATTTCTCTCTCTCTCTTTTATTCTCTCTCTCATTTCTCTCCTTCTAGCTTGACTTTAATATTTTTTCAAAACATGGCCAAAACTTTTGCCTTATTCAGTCTTTTATTCATAGATCATTTGAGAAGAAATGAAGCAAAATATGTGTATGTGTTTATATGTGTGTGTGTGTTTTGTGTGTGTGAGTGTGTGTGTTTTGTGTGTGTGTGTTTGTGAAGAATAAATCGTTTCAATAGCGTATTTTAAATTTATATACCATTGAAAAAATTTCCACCCAACACAAAGGCTCGTCCCTAACACAAAGGTCATGCTCCCATGATGTGCTGCCGACAATGTGTCGAATTGTGGAGTTTAAAGGTTCGTACGCCACCTACTGTTCCTGTTCCTCCAACTATTGCAACTTCAACTTTAAGATAGGACCCTACCTGATGCTGTCTAACTCAAGTTTGTTCATTTCGGTGTAGTTGGTTGGATTAGATAGCCAGATATATAGTCAATTTATTTACTACAATCTACTGAAGAAACTCAAATGAAATCTTTCATTATTGTTGAGTGGAATTTTGAGTTGACAGATGCTGAATTTTATAATTTTGGTGTTCTACGATGCGAAATGTTAAGAGCGCGATTAGACAGGCACTGTTTGAAAGTTAAACTATATAAGCGCTCTAATGAAGATATACCTATATTGAAATAACATTTCAAAAATTCAACACTACTTTCAACATTGTTCAACTTTTTTATATTTCTTTTTAATTTATTAATTTCAGAGAAATTAGACATTTTATTGTTTTTTAAAAATTTTTATTAAATAAATTTGCAAATTTATTAATTAATTGTTAATTAATTAAATTTATAAATTAATTTTATTTAATTTTTGAAATGTTGCGTTAACAACAGTCGGTTACCAAAATCTATATTGAAATCTAAATGAATGAACTTAGGTCCATTGAAAACTAGTCAACAAATATTTAGTTTTAAATAAATGAAAATAACTTTAAATAACTTTAAAGTAAAAAAAATTGTAAGGTGTGAAATGTTACCAATGTCTTGGTGTACAATGCAGCCAGCCTGTGAGCAACTTAACAACCTGCCAAGGAACTACTTGCGTTCAAGTTAAGTCTTCAGGTAGTAGTTTATTTCATTTAATTTAATTTATTTATTTCACTTTGTTTATGTTATATTTATATAAAAATATAGAAAATTTTATCATTAATTCCACTAATGTAAGTATATTAAATTAAACTGTGTAGATCCTCTGTTGAGAATTGGCACGTGCACCGACCTACTTGTGGTTTCAGGCTGTCTACCAACAACCGACCCATCGATCACTACCCAGTCTTGTTACTGCAGGAGAGACTATTGCAACATGTCGCCGGCTGTTGTAACAAAAGATCTGCCGATGCTCATGTTGCTTTTATTAACTTTTTTAGTTTTTAAATTTATTACAAACTATTAAAGTTCAGTTTTTTAGGTATTTCTAGAAGGGTTAACAGAAAAGACATTTACAATTTACTAACTAATGAACGATGACTGTACAATGGAGTTTTTTTTTCTTATAAAAAATTATTTTTGTAAAATTTTACGATTTGGCATTGGTTTCTCCGGTTATAACAACAACAACAACAACAACAGCAACAGCAGCAGCAACAACAAGACTATTCATAATAAAAACAACAACAGCACTGACAACCACAACAACAGCCCAAGCAACAACGCAAGCAACAGTAGTAGTAGTAGTAGTACTGCCAGTTGTAGCGAACCTAGCGCAACAACTACACGATGATGGCAGACGTAAGAGTGTGCAACATTGTTGTACAGAGATTGAAGGAAGCACTGAGAAGATAGCCCAGCCAAAAAATTATCAAACCAGATTTAGAATAATTTCGCTAACTCAACTGCTACTAATGACGAAGTTGGAAGGTCTTTGATTGTTCATGCTGAATCATAATAGGAAGACTGGTTATTGTTTTTTTTAAATAAATTAAGAATGTGTTTCTGTTGTTATTTTATATCTAAAAAAATACCAAAATAAAACACTACAAATTAGGAAACAATAATCTACTCGTCGTCGTATCAGTTTATATTGATGTAGCACAGTAGTGTTTAGTATTCCTTGCAATTTAAATTTTAAATTAGCGTCTGGGACAGAGGCGAGCGACAAGTCGTCTCTAACAAACAACAAGTAGCGTCACACGTTAAGCGTCCACTCCATTTTTTGAGTATTTGAGCAGAAATAGAGTTGGATCCCATCAATATGGAGTTTAATTATTATTATCTTTTAATTAAATTTGTAATAAAAAAAAACTAATTAAGATATTTAATTTTTCCAAAAATGATGCCGGCCTTACTCTCTTATTAGATGTCCAATTCTGCCAAAATCCGACTACCAAACTCGATTTACAAAGTTGAAGTGCTAACGATTCACATCAGCATAGCGACCAAAGCAGGCAGTGCAACTCTATAATATTCTCATAATGGAAGCCAAAATTACGAATATACTTAGTTAAAACCACATATTTTAAAATTTATTCTAAATATGGTCTGCATACATCTCCGCTCAATGCCTAAACACTTTTTAGACATACACAGGTGCTTGTTGCCATAGAGAGCGTCGCGACAACAACTTTTGCATGCTCAGAAAATTCTTCAAATTATATACATTTCTACTCATTTTATTCTCAATTTTAATGTTGCAATAGATGTATATATGAAAATTTTAAAAATTTTGGACTTGTTAAAAGTCACATACGTAAATATTAATAAATATATTTCATTGTTTTTATGTGCAACATGTTCAAAAGTTGTTAACTGGATTGATAGCATGAATAACTTTGAGCGCAAAAAAGTAACTTCTGATAACGAAGTTCTAATCCTAGGTAATATTACTTATATTATTAAAAAATGATTTTTTTATATATATTAAGAAAATAAAAAGTTTGCTAGTAATTTGAACAATTTAAAATTAAATAAAAACCAAATCTCAAATCTACGTTCCTCTAGAAAAGACGGGCGTCAGTAGAACGTTGGAAATGTTAATGCGAGAACTCGAGTCGGTGCAACCAGAGGATCCAATTTTCTACGCATGTCACTTGTCTGTCAGCGATTCAGTTTCTCAAATTTTATAACTAGTTTTATTATCTCGCTTTCTTATTATCCAGTTCTATCTAACAATATTTTTACTAATTTTATATCTCTACATTCCCAGCTTTGAGTCTTACATAGATGGTAGCAACTCCAACATCAATTACATCATCAATAGCAGCACAGCCAGCAACAACAACAACAACAACACTAACATTGACATCAACAGTAGCAGTAATCATACCAGTTGCAACAACAAGAGTAACAACGATGCCAGCAGGATAGCTGAGTCAATAAGGATTATGAAATACGCGAAATATCATGATAGCTACGATTTTGAGAGAGCCATCTGTCGAGTGTTTGACATCTTAGCTGGAAATAAAGGTGCAGCGGTTTGTTTGTTAGATCCAACAGCGGTAGATCCAAACAGGGGGGAGGGAATTTTACAGAAGGGGTGAATTTCAATGTCGACGAATCTTTTATCCTCTTTCTTCCTCATATCATTATACAAAACGTTACCTGATGTAAAAAATTTCTTTCGGAAGAAAGATACATTCTTCTTACTCTCTGCCGGATTTGCAATTCAATACTGTTAACTTTTTAAATAATATATAATTACCCCAAAATATGTTACACAGTTTTTTTCTTCCTTTATGGCACTTTTTCCCCGAGGTTTTCCCCGCACACCCCTCCCCCCTTAGATCTACCCCTCTGTAGCAAATGAGATGCTGTTTAGGTAGACAACATATTAAAGGTTATTTAATCTAGAAATTGAAATTACCCAATGATAATGCTTGGAACGAAACTCACTCAATTCATTTTCAGAATCTAACCAGTTGAACTGCATTAATGGAAAACTGCTCGACGAGTTCATGAAATCGTTGACAAAGTAAAAAAAAATAAAATTTATTTATATTATTTTGCTTAACTTCTTATAGTTAATAAAATTTTCAAATGTTTTCAAGCTAAAAAAAAGCCATAATTACGCATTTCATCAATTGTTTCATATAATTATAATTAATTAGTGAAAGTTAATTACATCAACAAAAAAATTTTCAAACATTTCATTTTTATTATTTTAACTGTCAGAGAAGATGGCTTAATGTTTAAGGCGCCTGATTCTCTTGTTGAAGAGGCCGTGTTCGAATGCTAGAAGATTCTTGCCTCCACCAATTGCTCATGTGTAATGTGTGGATCTCTTTGTGTAGCTAGGCATGCACTGTGTGTCGTTTCGTTGTTACTTTTGAGGAATAATTTAAAAAGAATTACAAAAATTATCAATAAATTAAAAATAATTACATAAATTAATGACTTATCACAAATGAAACCTTTATTCAGGTCATTGCTAGACAAGGTTTTAGAAGATAAACTAGCTAAGAAGATAAAATTCAGGCACGGCGATGCTGTAACACTCGCTCAGTTTAAACAAGCTCTCAACTTATGTTTCTCCCTACAAGGTTTTGTTAGATTTGCTGTTGAGTATTTGAAAAATTATTTCTATTTAATAAAATTACTATATTTTATTGTCGTTATAAATATTAACTACATATAATTAACTATTTTTTATGGTAATGTCAGTATTTAAAATGATTTAAAAAAATGTAAAATAAATTTTTTCAGAAATTGCAAAAACGGCCAGAAAAATGTTTCTAGAAGTTTTATCCGGCTATAATAATAATAATAACAACAACAACACAATTCATAATAAAAACAACAACACTGACAACAACAGCAACAACAACATAAGCAGCAGCAGTAGTAGTAGTAGTACTGCTAGTTGTAGCAAACCTAGCACAACAACTACGCCGATGATGGCAGATGCAAGATTGAGCAACGTCGTTGTACAGAGATTGGAGGAAGCATTGAAGATAGCCCAGCAAAAAAATTCTCCGTCCGGCAACTCGTTGAGTTGCAGTGTCAGAAATAAAGACTTCGCACCCAATGAAAACTATTTGAATAAGTAATTTCTCAATTTAGTACTTTTTTTTTTAATTCCATTTATTCACAGATAAAAGTGAAAGAGTCAGCCTAGCAATAAATGCTTATCTAGGGTTGACTCCCATAAAACAAGAAATAAAATATAAAAAATAAGAAATAACATAGTTAGTAATCCAAAAAAAACACAATAACATAAATAAGTAAAATAAATGTCATTTTTTTTTTAATTCCATTTATTCACAAATAAAAGGTGAAAGATACTGTTTCTCTAAAATAATTTCATGAAATATTATCATTTCGAATTGTAGCATACTTGAATCACTGAGGTACTTATCAGCTGAGCAGATGGGTGCCGCACTACATAAGGTAATAAGCGTCATTTAATTTTTTTCATATTTTAAATAATGAATTTTCATTTTATCTTAACCAAACCAAACACACACTCTCTCTCTCTCTCTCTCTCTCTCTCTCTCTCTCTCTCTCTCTCTCTCTCTTATTTCTTTCTCTTCTTACACACACACTACTTCGCCACACACAAATATCACAAATATTTTTTTTAATTTTATAAGTTTATTCAAACTGTTGTTACGTACATTCATTGCTAAGAAACATTCTGATTGAATTTTAAAGCATATGATTGGAGACTGAGTTTAAATCGTAAGTCATAATATTAGGGTTTGTTATAATAATGAAAATGAAATAGATTTTTTATCGTTATTTATAATTGTGTAATATAAATTATTAATGATGGTAAATTTTTTCACATTAATTCTCTGAAGAAATTAATTTATTTAAAAAATAAATTTAAATAGTTTATTATAAAATAAATGATGAAAGATATGGAACTCAGAATATAACATTTTATTTTTAATTAATAAATAATATAAAATAAATCACAATCTAATTAATTATTTGAATATTTAATTATTTTATTAATTCAGGCATACTTGAAAAGTGTTAACAACAGTGGTCGAATGAGCTGCGGAGAATTTGTTGACAAAATAGTCGGAGTGTTTTTTGAGTTCCAAAGTTGACTTGAATTGTTTAAAATAATTTCACGTTCGATCGCCTTCGGTTTGTTCCTCATATTTCAGCAACAATTACCTCAACCTAGTATTTTATCGAAAAAATAAAAAAAAATTCAAAAGATGTCTCAGCTATTTTGTTAAACAAAGCAGGAGTCATGTGTTGCTTCAGGTTCAAAATTTTCCAATTCTAAAAGGCCACCTGCGATGTTTTGAATCGATTCGCAGAATTAATGTTACACGATTGCACTTATCCATTGTCTGATTTGAATAACTCTTTGTCGTTAAAAAAACTGTACCCCCAAAATTAATTTTGCCAGGTTATATTTTCTTTGAAAAATGTAAAATAATCCAGCTAGTTATAAAAGCAAATCCCATAAAGTCGAATGATTAATTCGCTCTAATGCTGTTTAAGTTAGATGATTTAATCTTATAATTTTAACTTTTTAAAAAATAAAAAAGTTGAGATATTAAACTTGAATAAATCCAAAAACTTTTATTGTGAGTCTTTATTATACAGGAAAACTAGGCGTACTAACCATTTATCTACAACAATTTATCAGAAAAAACGCACCTCAAATGTTATTTTAATATATTATAAATGTTTCAAGTGTTTTAATTATTACAATTAATTATAATAAGAATTTATAAGTTGTTTTAATACATATTCGGGACGATTTAATCTAAATAATTAGTTTAATAAAAAAATTTGATTTTTATCATTTTAGTATATCCAGAGATGATGAAGGCCATGTTACTCATCTCTTTCTTTGGGGCAATGCTGGTTGTGGAGTGCTACCACTACGGTAGATGATTGTTTTTTTATTTTATGTTTGATGTGTGTGTGTTTGTGTGTGTGTTTGATGTGTGTGTGCGCGCGCGTGTGTATTTTTATGTTCTTATGTTCATTTAACATTCTTATGTTCAAACTTATGTTCATTCCAATCAATTAAAAATTTCTAATTCTCCAGCTCATGGTGAAAGGTAACAATTTTGCTTCTAAAGAAAAAATTTCACATAAATATTTTATTTTATTAACGGTATCACATTTATTTATTACAAACTCTCCAATTTACTAAAATTATTATTAAAAATTAATTAAATAAAACTAATGTTATGTAAATGAAAAACGTTTTATTCATTTAATAACTTGATAATTTTACGGCAAAAAGTTGTAGAATGTTAGGCGACACGTGCAGCAGAGGTGATCAAGTGAACGCTTGTTGTGGCAACAAACTGGTCTGCCAGTGTGAGAGCAACGACGAAGACTGCAGATGTGTCTCGGCCTTTGGACAGAAGTAACAAAACACCCCTGCTAATTTGGCAAATTTAGTTTTTTCTTCTTTTCATTTATTCTTTTGCCTTATTTAGGCTCCAAACACTAGTACAGGTTTATGATCTGATTACTTAAATTTAAGTTAGGTTAGGCAAGACTGTGTTCTCTCCAGGCCTGTACAATCTCTATAATGAGATCATCATGAGAAAGATCTACCTGGAATATCCATTGAGGGCGTGAATATAAACAACGCAAGATATGCTGATAATACAGCTCATATAGCAGATTCATTGGAAAAACTACAAACAAATTGTTTCCAAACTGGTTCTTGAAAGTGAAAAGACAGGCTCTGAGAAAATTTTTTAATAACATGATAACCGTTATTTTTCAACTTTGTTCAGGTAATTGTTCCAAATGTGTCCGGATGCCTAATTTAGAAAAAACATTTTGAAAATTTCGGGAGATCTGTCATTTATTTGTTTTAATTTTAATTTATGCAGAACATATTAAACAGCATTGCCTGTTTAGTGATAATGATTTTATAAAACAGTGAAACTTTATTCCACAACCACATATCTTAATTTTTGTTGCTGTTTGTTCATTTTTACAAAATTTTATTTATTTTTTCATTTTATAAACTTAAAACCTTTATAAGTAACTTTACATATGCGCCTATAATAATCAAAGAATGCATCGTTTAATTCGTGAAAAAACCAAACTCGCAACATTTTTTCCATTCAAGTTGTTGTAAAAACCAAATCGAGATAATATTTCATTCGAAATTAAAAGTTTTTTTGTTTAATCAAATAGTTTATCGTTAAAGTGTAGTATCTAACCATTTCAAATTCAATATAGGTACCATGACGTCATTTTTACCCACGATTTTGTAACGAATTAGTCATACTGTTTTAATAATTTTTATGTCATTGGTTAGAGAAGTGAATGTTTTATTGAATTCTAAAAGAAAATTTTTGTGAAGTTAATAGTTTAAAATGCCATTAACAATAATGTTGATACTAGTATATATGTTCGACATTTAAATTCTATGAAGTTTGATCAAATTACTATGTATGTATATGTATTTACATTCATTTATTTTGGTAACAGACTGTTGTTAACGCAACATTTCAAAAATTCAACAATACTTTCAACATTGTTCAACTTTTTCATATTTCTTTTTAATTTATTAATTTTCGAGAAATTAAACATTTTATTGTTTTTTTTTTAAATTTTTAAAAAAATTTTTTAAAAAAATTAAAAAAAAAATTTTTTTTAATTTTTTAAAAAAACAATAAAATGTCTAATTTCTCGGAAATTAATAAATTAAAAAGAAATATGAAAAAACATTCATTTATATATATATATATATATGTATATATATATATATATTTATACATCAATATCACGTGAAATTACTCGAAATCTTATAATTAACTATTATTGAATGTATACTTTCTTCTACTTATTTTTAATAACTTTCGCTCTCAGCTCAACACGTTTCCGTTTCAATTCACTTTTAAATTGGCCATGCTGTTGTGAAATGCTTTTTAATGAATTAAAAATTAAAAAATTTTCAGAGTCAATTTGTTGATGGCAGTTTGAAATTTTCAAACATCCAACATGACGTCTTTTTTGTGCGATTATGCCAAATTGGGGACAGCGGGCTGCAAGAAATGTAAAGTAAAGTTGGAGAAGGGGGCCCTCAGGTTGGCTAAAGTAACGCCCAATCCATTCACAGATGGGGAGGGTGAAATGAAGCAATATTTCCATCCGAAATGTTTGTTTGAAACGTTCACGAAGGCCAGGTCAACCACTAAGGTCGTTGACTCGCCAAATGACTTACAAAACTATGACAGCTTGAAAGCTGAAGATCAAAATTTGATCAACAATCTCATTGATGGTTTTTATTTTTTATAATACTTTTTCATTTCCTTTTGATAGTTTTAAAAATTGAAAAACGTTAACCTTAATAATTAATAAATCTCATATTTTGGTTCAAATCATTTCGATTATTCTATTTTAGATTGTTGAATTTTCTTTATTTAAATACATTTATAAAATAAGAATGTTTATATGTCAATATATATATATAACTTGGAAAAAATAATTTTCCTTCAGCTGAATATTGTTTATAATAACATTTACATTTTTCTATAATAGACCTTTCAAAAGTTAGATCAACCCCGAAGAAGACTGCCACCAAAAGAAAGAAACCAAAATCAGAGAGTATGGACGATGAAGATGACATCAAAGAAAGTACTAAAGTTCATGGTGATATTTCAATTCCATAGCTATTGATATAATAATCCAAGCTTAAAATATCATTGTTTGCTCTGAGTATCATTTTTAAATTTATCTCTATAGCAGTTTAGCATGAATGATTTGTAATTTTTCTAAATTCAGGGCTTTGTATTTTCATTTTTCAGTTGAATAAAAGAATATGTGTCTACATAAATTTATAAACTCATTATGATTTTCATTAAAAATTTGTTCTGTATTTTTGTAAAATCTTACAAGTTTTTTTTTAAATTGATATTTTCAGTCTTGTTTTGATATATACATCCGTCACTAATTATTATATTTTTGTTTTTCTTTAAAAGTTCCTAAGAAAAAAATTAAGCTATCATCGTCATCAACGAAGGATACGCCAAAAAAGTTGTTGAAATCTTCAGAACCAGAAAAAAAATCTCTCCCCTCAAGGCTGTCAACTTCGGCAGTTTCATCAACATCAACAAAGTCATCACCAACAACATTATCACCAGAAGCATCATCACAAATTAAGACCTCGGATAAAAATCTCTCGAAAGCAGATGATAATATGGAAAAGTTGAAGGAGAGAGATAATTCATTTATAGAGTTCAGAAAATTGTGTGCCCAGATTGCTGAACAGTCTAGTCACACCATGAAAACTGCTTCCGTCTCTGAGTTCCTGAGAAATGGAACAAGTGGAAGTACGGAATGTGATTGGTCGGTGAATGATTTGCAGGAAAATTTGGTTGGTTGGTAATTAAATACTAAGTAGCAAGAGAAAATTTGATTGGTTAATAAATGAATAATAAGTTACCTTGATTGGTTGATGATCAAACAGTGGTTTACTTTGATTGGTTTATGAATAATTGGTAGAATAATTTGATTAGATGATGATTAAATAGCTGGATATTGTGATTAGTCGATGAATAATTGGTTAAAAAATTTGATTGGTTGATGATCAAATAAAGGTGCTAGTTACTTTGCATATCTAGTATTATCAAATCCTCTCTACAATTCAAGTAAATTTGTTTCTGTTTAACCACTTTCGATTCCATCACCACACCACCACCAACTCCAGCAAATTACCCATGTGATGCTTATTTGCTGTTGAAGGTTCTGCTACCAGGTGTTGTAAAATCTGTGTACAATATGGATGACAAACCGGCGGTGAAACATTTCAGCCAGGGTTGTTATTCAAAATCTTTCTATTCTCTTTTGTTTTTTTTTTTTTTTTGTTCTTATATTTCCATTCGATTCCATAATTCATAATGTTTTTTGTTTAGATTTATTGATTTCAAAGTCTATTTATTTTAAAATGATTTTTGAAAAAAATTCACCCACACAGATTTTTGGGACTAGTTTAGAGGAAATGATGGAGCACTTGGAGGATGGTGATGTCTCTGATACTATATCCGCGTTTTTTGGTAAATCTTCAAACTTGAAACCGCAGTTGAAGAGTATGTTGTCCATGCAAGAGGTTGATTTTTTTACTGTCTCACTAACTATTTTTTCATTATTTTTCAATAATTTTTCATTTTATTTTCCATCAAATACTTTTATTTAAACTTGTCAGCAGGAAATTCTTTTTTATATGCGGGATTAATATCCTAGTGTGTGTGTGTGTGTGTGTGTGTGTGTGTGTGTGTGTGTGTGTGTGTGTGTGTGTGTGTGTGTGTGTGTGTGTGTGTCTTCTATCCCATAGACGGATTAATGGAAACAGAAATTTTGAATATTTTCATAAACTGGGATGTCTTTTTTTCAGACAGTTGAATTCTAACTTGTAAGCTGTTTTACTCGTTTAGACTGAGAGTAGCAACAAATTTTGTCTACAAACAGACCAGCAACAATTTTTTTTTCATAAATTTTGATGTCTAATGTCTCAGCAACCACAATTATTATTATTATTATTATTAACGTAGGTGGATGCTTTCTTGTCTGAACTGACTAAGTACACCAAAGAAGAGGACCAGCTGAAATGTCTCACAAAAATTACTAAGAGGTTGTTTTTTTTTTAATTTTAATTTTTGGACTGTTGTGAACGAAAGAGTAAAAATGTTTTTTTGTTGTTTTATTGTTTAGATTTCATTGAATTTAAATTTGCAACGGAAAATTGTTTAGGTGCACATCAAATGATCTGAAGACCTTCATTAGGCTGGTGAAACATGATCTGAGAATCAACTGTGGATCTAAATTGATGTACGGTTTTTGTTCTGTTTGTTTGCTTATTTGTTTGTTTGTTTGTTTGTTTGTTTGTTTGTATGTTTGTTTGTTTGTATGTATGTTTGTTTGTTTGTATGTTTGTTTGTTTGTATATATGTTTGTTTTTACTGTTTCCCCCAATATATCACAAAAGAAAAAATTTTAAATAAGTATTTCAGAAAATGTTGCCATGATTCTATTTCTTTTCATCGAGTTAGTTTTTAAAAAAAAACAGTCATGCACCACGTATCAAATGTTGATTTCAGTAACAAAAATATAATAATTTAAACTGCACAAAACGTCCTCAAACGGTCTCCAAGTTAGTTTTAACTCCTACCTAACTTCATCGTCGTCATCATCTATTAAATCAGTCTCGACGGTTTGAGCCCCAAAGCTTATGAGGCCTTCAAAGCGTCGCGAGACCTGAAGAAGGTTGTTGACATGATCCTGAATGTCAAGTGCAACGAGGGCAAGGTCAAAGTTCAATTGTCCTTAATGACCCCTGTGCAACCGATGCTGGTAGATGAAAAATTGTTCGCTTATTTTTATTTAAATTAATTTGTTACTGTTTCTAATGAGATTTATTAAAGCATGTTATAAATTGTTAGGAATTTTTAATCGTATGCGAAAATTTAATTCCAACTAATTTTTTTTTATTATAAAAGGCAGAAGCCTGCAAGTCAGTTGACGTTGCTTTCAAGAAGTGTCCTAATGGTATGTACGCTGAGATAAAATATGATGGGGAAAGAGTACAGCTACACAAACAAGGTACCTGCCAGCCTACCTACCTACCTACCTACCTACCTACCTAACTACCTATACACTTTTCTATCTACTTAATTATTTAATATGGTTTTCACAAGTTTCACCTTAACTTAAATTAATAATTTCTATCGAAAATGAGCATTGGTAACAGCTAGAGATATAAAGAGTATTATTTATAAGCAGTATTATTATCACGAAAGATCTCGGTGTAAAAAGAATTCACATGTAATAATCACAGTCTTATGTAAGAGTTGAATTGTGTGTTATGTCTTTTTGTAATTTATTATTTTAAAAAAGTGATTTTTCTCTTCTCTCAATATTTTTGCCCATTGCTAACTAAAATTTTTTAATGTGGAGGAATTACTCACAAAAAAAGGTGACCACTACCAGTACTTCAGCAGATCTTTGAAGCCTGTCCTCGACCACAAGGTTGCATGGATGGTGACTTGTTTGGCTGCATGGTGTTGAATGATGCTTGCGAAGGATGTGATGATGGAATGGTTTATCATATTAGTCACTGCTGACCAGTCGTCTGTTTTCTTACATCATTTCTTCGAAACAACTTTATTATCATGTTACTGATTGTGTTTTTGTTTTTTTTATTGATTGATTAATTAAAATATTAATTGGTTAACTAACTGCTTCATTTCAACAACTAACCTTAAAATTTCAATCATCTAGCAGCACCTGTATACATTAATCCTCCTCCATTCATTCCTTCTTTTCTCCTTCGTTCATTCGTCCATTTTTAATTAATTAATTCATTCATTCATTAATTCATTCATTCATCTGGCCAATTAGGTGAAGCACCTGAAAGACTTCATACCCCTGGCCTTTCCAGGTGTCAGTGATCTCGTCTTAGATAGCGAGGTTCTACTCATCGACAACAAAACGGGCAAGCCCCTACCCTTTGGGACTTTGGGAGTGCACAAGGTTTCTGATTGGCGGAGCATTTGACCATCATCACCACCATCATCACCACCATCATCATCGTAATCATTATCATCATCACTATCATCATAATCATCATCATTATCATCATCATTATCGTCATCTTCATTTTCTTTAATGATTTGAAAAAATGAGAGAATTTTATCTTAAGAATCTTATTGTTTCTGGGATAAAGTTTAAAAACTTTGCTCATCCAAATGTAACATTATCTTCTTCTTCTTTTTTTTTCTTTAACAGAAAAGTGCATTCAAGGATGCAAATGTCTGTCTGTTCATCTTTGACTGCCTTCATTACAATGGGCAGAGTCTTCTAAACAGGTTTACCTGATATGACTGGTGCATTTCGGCTTAATGGGTGTTTTTGGAGTTGTATGTTTGTAGACTGTTTAAGGGATTGTATGTTTGTAGACTGTCTGTGGACTTGTATGTTTGTAGATTGTCTGTGGGGTTGTATGTTTGTAGACTGTTTGATGTTTGCTACTACTGGCAGACCCTTGATAGAGAGAAGGGATATTCTACACAAGAACATGACGCAAGTCAACAATCACGTCATGTTCTCAGAAATGACTCATATTATGGTTTTTGTTTCGCATATTCTTAATTAAATAATTTATATATATATATATTTATAAATATTTACTAAGAAAAATTGAAAAATTCGAATATAAGTTAGATTTTATTTTTGAAAAATGTCAGGTAAATAAGTTGCGTTATTTTATGAAATGATTTAAACTTGTGCTACTAAATTTCTTAAATGGGTTTTTCTCCCTCAGATTAGTTTTATTTTTTAAAACTTATGAAAACTTTAAAATTCTTCTATAGCACTCGCAAAATGATTGATTGAATTTTGAAACTTCAAAGATGGTTTTTTTTCACTATTTACATACAAATCATTGAAATTTCATTCCGTTCCATTCATACAACTACTGGCGAAATTATTTGTCGACTCTTAGGAAGAGGATGACCTTGTTGACCTGATGATGAGGGTTTTCAGAGAAGGACTGGAAGGGCTTGTACTGAAAGATATCAATGTTTGTATCTCTCTATCATTGGCTACTCGTCTATCATTCATCTTAATGATATAGTGTGATATATTGTGGAGATGATCATATAGATAATAATTTTCTGTTAATCTATTATTATTTGTAGTTTCGTGTTTCAGTGTGTGTGTGTGTGTGTGTGTGTGTGTGTGTGTGTGTGTGTGTGTGTGTGTGTGTGTGTGTGTGTGTGTGTGTGTGTGTGTGTGTGTGTGTGTGTGTGTACTGGCCAAACGTTCATTTCAGAAGTGTCTACTTTATGTTTTAGTGCATGTATCTTTCATTTGAATGTTCGCCGGTTGTTTTGCCATTCTTTACCTGGTGTTAATTTTGCAGGGTATATACGAGCCTGGCATGAGGCACTGGCTGAAGGTGAAGAAAGATTATCTAGGTCAAGGTTGCATGGCCGACTCGGCTGACCTGGTGGTGCTAGGGGCATATTTTGGAACCGGGTCGAAAGGTCAATTTGTCGTTGATATAAACAGTGTTGTACAACATTTTTTATTCTATGACTTTTATTGCTGTTTGATCATCGCCACATATCGATATGAAACAGTTGATTGATTGTCTGAATAAAATTTCACTACAGTGCATCATGATCGGTGAATATGAGCAAATCTTAATTTTCTTAGATTACTTTTTCTCGCAATTGATACTCACAGATAACTATTAAGTCTCTTAATATGATTTCTATATGATTTGCTCGTTGCATAGGAAACATAAAATCACGATTCTTATACTGGATTGAATTGGCACTTTTTGTTTTAAAAAGCATTTTAAAAAATGGAGGCTTCTACAAAGTAACAAAATTCTATCTTATTGTTCTTTCCCAATAAATGCCATCAATATGTGAAGAAACAGGACAGACCCATCCTTTAAGATCACCAACCATCCTATAATGTTTTCGTCACTTAGGCGGTATGAAATCAGTGTTTCTGATGGGAAGTCACGACGAAGACACAAAGAAGTGGTGCACGGTGACAAAATGTGGCAGCGGCCTCGACGACGCCACGCTCAACAAGCTGCAGACGTCAATCAAGATGGTCAAAATTAGCAAGGTAGGGCAACTGCTGCTTATGACTCCTCTCTTGCATGTGCATGTGATGTGGTTTAAGGATTGTTAATAAGTGAAAATGAATTATCTCTTTTGTATTGACTTTTTCATTAACAAGTAGCTATGACCTGATTGATGACCTATCTCAGCCAGACATTTCAACTATTTCGTCATTATCTAATACATTCTTTTGCATTCTCAAACACGCCACTGCCGACTTGCATGCGTGTTCACAGGATGCTGCGAAGATTCCAAAGTGGTTGAACGTTTCCAAGAAGCTACTTCCTGACTTCGTGGTCCTTGATCCTAAAGTACGTAACTTTTTCCAGTCCGTAACGCTCAAATAATGTCTCCAACGTTCACAAAATTTTGTCGGTTGTTTATTCAACTGCATTTTTTGCTATCTTACATTTTACGAACTTCATCAGTTTCCATTAAAATATCAAATGTGTATTAATCAATCAATCAATCAATCAATAATTAAATCTAATTCCATATAGGAATCGCCTGTTTGGGAGATAATTGGGACGGAGTTTACGCTGTCTGATGTTCATACAGCTGGCGGAATTTCCATCAGGTTTCGTTTCAGTTGCACTTTTGGTTTCATTTTCACTTTCCGGTTTCATTTTCACTTTCTGGTGTCACTCTCACATTTTGGTGTCATATTTGTAGTTATCTTTTCTATTGCTTATGTCATTGCGTAAATGTTGCAAACTAACTTATGCTTATGGGATTGTAATATTGTAACATAGAAATATAGAAATTTGACAGTTTTCTCTGCAATGCTGTGTGTGTATGTGCGTATGTATGTGTGATGTGTGTGTGTAGTTGTAGGTGTGTGTGTGTAGTTGTAGGTGTGTGTGTTTAGTTGTAGGTGTGTGTGTGTGTGTAAGTGTTTGTGTGTGTTTTTGTTTTTTACATTTATTTATTCAACTATTCATTTATTTGTGTTTGTTGTCTGTGTAGATTTCCTCGCATACAAAACATTCGCGATGACAAAACTTACAAGGAGGCTACTGATGTAAAGAGACTGAAGGTAGGTTCACTGATTGATCGGTTGGTCGGTTGGTTGGTTGGTTGGTTGGTTGGTTGGTCGGTTGGTTGGTTGGTCGGTGGGTTGGTTAATTGGTTGGTTGATTGGTCGGTTGGTTGGTTGGCTGGTTGGTTGATTGATTGGTTGGTCGGTTGGCTGGTTGGTCGGTCGGTCGGTTGGTTGGCATGATCAGTTGGTTGGTCAGTCCTTCTATCGTTTCATTGTTCTATTTATTCGTTTCAGCTGTTGTACAAAAAGTCGAAAGAACATTCAAAGATTGAAGACATGTTCAGTGGGAGGGCAACGAAGAAGAGAGGAAAGCAAAAGGATAGGGATGGTGATGAAGGTGAGGGTAGGGCAAAGGAGGAGAAGGAGGAGGGCGACAAAGATGAAGCTGGAGATGATGACGACGAGCAAGAAGGTGATGACAATAAGGTGGAGCGTGATAAAAACAACGACGATGATGCACAATTATACAACATGGAAACTGATGATGATGATGAAGAAGAAGAAGATGATGATAGAGTTACTGATGAACCCGGTTCAAAAGATGCAAAGAAGGATTATAATGATGATGGTGATAAGGATGATAGCACCAGTAAGCATGAAACAAATTATGATAATAAATCAGGTGCAGATGGTGTAGCTGGTAGCAGCAAAGAGAACAGCTGCAAGAACGATACTAATAAACTCAACAGAACCACTAGCAGCAGCTGCAGCAGCAATCAAACCAGTTACAGACCGGCATGTCGCTACGGGAGCAATTGCTATCAAAAAAGTTTCTTACATAGAATTCATTTCAAACACCCCAAATCCAATGATGATGAAGATGATGATGATGCTAGAAATAATGATGATGGTGGTGGTGGTGATGATAAGTTTAAGGTGAGTTAAGAATTTGATTTGTTTCATGCCTTTCTTTGTTGTACATTACGGTGAGAACTAATATAAATGTATGTAAATGTAATGTAAATGTATTTCAGCTGCAGAAGGATTCTGTTGGTTTTGTCATACGGAATTTAGTTTTAGAATTATATTATTTTTTTCAAATTCGCTACAATTTAGATGAAGAATTTTAAGATTTGGAAAACATTTAGAACAGAAATTACAAAATGGTCGACAATAATTTGAAAAAAAAAATGAAAAAAAATTACAATTTTTGACTTGTTCTTAAATTTACAACCACCGTACAGCTGCTGCCAAACATTTTCGTCGGACTTAAATTTTCCATACCATCACTTTATACTCCATCAACAGCGCCATCAACTACGTCATCAATTACGTCATCGTTGAAAGACGAGGAGAAGAAAATGTTAAAAAGATACATCACAGCGTATGTATTATAATTAATAGATTGGTTGATTGATCGATTGATTAATAGATAGATGGATGGGTCGATGGATGGATGGATGGATGGATGGATGGATGGATGGATGGATGGATGGATGGATGGATAGATAGATAGATAGATAGATAGAACCATAGATGGATAGACAGAACCATAGATGGATAGATAGAACCATAGATGGATAGATAGAACCATAGATGGATGGATAGATAGAAACGAACATCTCTGAATTAAATATAATTTAAATTATTTGGAAACTAACCATGGTATCATAATTTTTGTCCTTTCGTTACCATTTATAAACCATCTGCAAAATGATAACTCTAGATACGGCGGTGACGTGATCGATGATGACGTCATTCGTGACGAGTGTGATTACGTCATCCTTCACGACAGTGACGTCAAAAACATCAGCAAGGACGTCAGCAAAGACGTTAACAGTAAATATATTACACCGTATAAGGTCTGGCAGATTATTAAGAATGGATTCAATTGATTTTTGAAACATTCTATTTTATAAATCTATGGTTAATTAAGTCTAATTTTGAAATTTAAATTGAGATTTTATTCGGAAAACTGAAAAGCGCTTTATTTTAGTTGATCAGTGAAGTATTTTTTGTTTGAAGATAATTTGTTTTATTATTTAAATATATTATTTCTTTTTAAATTATTCCTAAATGCTGTAAATATATCTGTGATAAACTACTAATCCTTATCTATAAACAAGTCGGTTTTATTGCATTTTATTTTTATGATGAACTTAAGACAAATTTATTTGGTATTTCAATTAATCAAAAATATTAATTAAAGGATTTTAAACATTTTAGTTCTGGAAGCGTGGCTGATTTCATTTTAATTAAAAATTTTATTTTTGGTATTTTTATTAAACAAGAGTGTGATTTTGTTGCGTCCGTTATTTTTCGTTTAAAAACTGTTCCCTAGTACCTCGACTACTATAATGCTTTAAATAAATCAATATATTTATATCACAATTATTTTTGTCAGTATAAATATAGAAATTGCTTTTGTCAGGTGGAAAACAGTTGCTTACTGAAGCCGTAGGTTGGCTCAATCGGATTTTTTCTCATGTATACAATACTATGAGATAAATCAATCAAACAATCGGTCGGTCAGCAGCCAGCCAGTCTGTCAGTCAATCAATCAACCGATCAATCAACCAATCAATCAACTAAATTGAATGAACCAAATAAAAATAAATTTGCAAGGCCTGTTCAAACTCGAACAAACACTTAACCGTACAGATCTACAAACAATTTCGAAATTTTAGGAAAGAAAGAAAAACACAATAGTTGCTTTTATTTGAATTCATTCAAAAATGAAAAGTGGCGGTTAATTTAAATTTTAAAATGTCAATTTTTTTTAAATTCGTATTTTAAATAAACAAATATAACAAAATATCGACCGATAAAAATAATTATTATCCATTATTATTATTATTATACACACTCCTTAGAAGTTCTCGAAGGATAATAAACCACGTAACATGAACATTTAGTGAGAACAGTTCACAACATATCATAATGACTAAATTAACATACTAAACAGAAATAATTTATACACGCATATATACAAAGTAAATCAAGAAATATCCAAAAACTATATAACAAATTTAAAAAAAAACTAGAAACCAGTCAACATTTAATGAATAAATAAATAGAAATTATTAAAAGGATTGTCCAAAAAGGTACAATTTAAGGCGACGACGAGAATAAAATGTAGTTTGTTTTGTTGGTGTGGTGTTGTGAAGCGAAAACAAACACATCACACAAAACTAGTAAGAAGTCGCAAGAATAGTAGTCAGTCACCTACCTATAATTAAATTACTCTCAGGGCCCTAGCTTACTTATAATCATTAACTCAACTCACTTACCTACAAATTTGTATTTCTCGTATTAGATGTTTCAAGTATTTTATTTAACATATTTTAGCGTTTTTATTTTACTTGAAGCTTTTTAACTAATGTTAAGCCCCAGCCTACCTACAATTGTTTAACTCATCTCAGTCCCTAACTTACCTATGAATTAAATTAAAGCCCGGTTCACGGTAAAGAAAATAGAAAGTTGAAGAGAAACATAACAACAACGACACCGAATGAATGGATGTTGTGTATGTATGTGTTGTATTGGTGTGTGTGTGTATGTAAATGTGCGGGCGCGCACTCTCCAGAAACTTCACTCACTACCGACGAACCTCCATTGCACCAACCATCATCTGACACGCATCGATGGAATGAATTTGACCGGATACTGAAAAATAAATTGAAAAAAAAATTAATTCACTAAAATAAAAAACAAGCAATTGGAAAAAATAGGCAACTTATCTTTTTAAGATAACACTCAATCTTTGTTCAAATTCGAGTAATTTCAAAAGTACAATGAGACAAAAACAAATTTACCTTTAAAATTATCTTCGATTTGTCATCGGAACGATCATCATGAGACCACCATCTGAAACGTGCTGACGCCCACCACAGCCCACCTCTCATCATTCTGTTGACAAGTTTTTATTAATTAACGAAGTAGTAAATCAAGAAACAAAGGAACGAACGAATAAATGATTAACTGAATGATTGAACGATTGGTTGAATGAATAAATTAACTAATAAATTACTCAACCAATGATTTAATGAATGAATAGAATGAATCAATGAATAAATTAATTGAGGAATAATTTGAAAGATAGTGATAAAATGAATGAATGAATGAGAAAAATAAAAAAATAGAAACTTAATCATACTTCAAAAACCGTCGTTGTTGTTATCTTCGAATTGTCATCGGAACGATCATCATGAGACCTCTATCTGAAACGTGCTGATGCCCACCACAGCCCACCTCTATCATTCTGTAGACATTTTTTTAATAGCGTATTAGTAAAACAAGGAACAAAGGAATGATCGAACAAATTAACTGAATGATTGAATAATTGGTTGAATGAATGATTGAATTAGTTAATAAATCAATGATTCAATTAATGAATAGAATGAATTAACGAATCAATTAATATTAGAATAATTTAAAAGGTTGAGTGATAAAATGAACGAATGAGAAAAATAAAAAACGAAACTAAACCTTACTTCAAAAATCGTCGTTACTGTACTTTCCATTGCACCGACCACCATCATCTGGTCGGCACACAAAATGCCATCCGAACTTCAGAGTGTCAGTCGAACAGCCAACGAGCTGATTTTTCCTACACCACCATCATCATATGTAAATCATCATGAGACCACCATCTAAAACGTGCTGACTCCCACCACTGCCCACCTCTCATCATTCTGTAAACAAATTATTTTTTATTTGCGTAGTAGTAAATGAATGTTAGAATCTTAGAAGCAAAAAAAATTAAATTATAAAATGAAAATAATGTCAAATAAATAAAATTTTAAAACAACAAAGTGAGTAAAATGCAAAAAAAACTTACCGTCGTCCATTCGACAAAGGCAGAATGTTGAATGCGGTCCGGTTCCTACGTTATCCTCCAAAACTGCTGCCAGTCCTCCTCGAGATTGTTGTTGAAACACAGCCCGTGTTGATGGAAAAAGATAGAGAAAGAGTAGATTCTCATCAGAAAGCTTAGCGGTGCCTGCATCTCAAATTGCTTAATAAAAATAATCCTATCTACCTATTCAATTACCTTAACTAATCTATATTAAATTGTTAATGGTACGATAGTCGAAAGTCCCCCTTCATTCTCCATCCTTGCACAGAGGTTCACCGACAGCCAGGGCACCGGATAGAAAACCATTGCCGTGCGGATAGTAGACTATTGCCGTGCGGATAGTAAACCATTTGCCGTCCGGAAGCCGTGCGGGTAGTAGACTATGGTCGTGCCGCATGGTAAATCATTACCGTGCAGATAGTAAACCATTGCCGTCCGGATAGTAAACCATTGCCGGTACACCACTGGCCACCAAGGCCTACCTCTGACAACAGACTTTGAAATTCAGAGTCTATCGGCTATCGTACCCTCAACTTACTTATTCATTACAATTAAGCCCTAGCTTACCTAAAATTACAAAAAAAACTCAAGAGCCCAATTCATTGGCCTTTCGGCACCCACCCCACCACCTACGTAATGCCTTGGGCTCCAACTTAGTAATAATAATATAAAACTTAAACCCTAAATCTATTAATGAGTGTGTGTTACAACGTAGCCTTAACTTACCTATTCATTACATTACGGTCCTAGCTTACCTAAAATTACAAAACTCAAGAGCCCAATTCATTGGCCTTTCGGCACCCACCCCACCACCTACGTAATGCCTTGGGCTCCAACCTAATAATAATAATGTAAAATTTAATAATTAACTTACCTATCGATACACTTACAGCGTTTTAATTTACATTACAAGATTGTTCCTAGAATTATATTATTGCCCTTAACTACCTATGAAATTAAATTACTCTCAACCTTAGTAATAATAAATTAGAATGTGTAATGAAAATAAAATAACGCTCAAATACTAATGTGTGTTTATGTATGTATTTGTGTGTGTGTGTGTGTGTGTGTGTGTATAATACGCTGATGCGTGTAATGTGGGTGCAAGAAAAAATAGAAGAGATAAACTTACGCGCCTACCTATTCAACTACATTAGTGTTGGATTCTTCCTATCTATCCTACCTACAATTAAAACTATACCTATCTAACCTACCTATATAGCTACTTAATGTAATTGTGTGTATGTGCGTGTGCATGTGAGCATTCTTACTTAATGTTAAATTACAGAGAAAAACAGAGAAAAAAGAATAAAACGAATCCCAGCCAGGCGTGTATTCACTGCCACTGAATGAACAAACGTAGCCTGACATCTTCCATGATGAATTCCTTTGGAAGCTTTAACCTGAATGAAATGGATGAAATGGAAAAATCTTATTTATTTGATTAATTTAAATGAAAATAGAAAGACGAGCCGCGGTGAAACCCGCCGGAAAAGCCAGTCAACTGGCAAAAAGGAACCGCAAAGAAACCGTAAAACGTACCCCAGCCAGTCGTGTATTCTTTGCCACTGAATGAATGAACGTAGCGTGACATCACAACCAGTCTGATCGTCCACGATGAACTCCTCTGGAAGCTTCAACCTGAATGAATGAACCTGAAAAAACCTAGATGAATGGAAAAATCTTATTCAATTTAAATGAAAATAACCGCAAAGAAACCGACCGGTCGGCAAAGAAAAGAGAAAAGAAGAGCCAAGAAAGGTATCTATATAGGATTTATGCTCTATATAACTCTATATAACTCTATATAACTCTATATAACTCTATATAACTCTATATAACTCTATATAACTCTATATAACTCTATATAACTCTATATAACTCTATATAACTCTATATAACTCTATATAACTCTATATAACTCTATATAACTCTATATAACTCTATATAACTCTATATAACTCTATATAACTCTATATAACTCTATATAACTCTATATAACTCTATATAACTCTATATAACTCTATATAACTCTATATAACTCTATATAACTCTATATAACTCTATATAACTCTATATAACTCTATATAACTCTATATAACTCTATATAACTCTATATAACCATGCATACTACCACATTCAATCAATAAAAATCCCACCAAAACCAGGAACCACCGCGTACCTGCTGAATGTATGGTGTGAAACAAAACAAAAAAACACAAAACGAAAAACACACCACCAAGTAAGAGTAAAAGAAAAGAAGTCCCTAACCTACCTATGTAACTAAATTACCTTATGCCCTAGCCTACCTATATAATAAATTAATTCTCAATCTCACCTACCTATGTTTCATTAACTTAACTCAAGACTCATGAAGAAAGAGAAAAAGGAGTAAAACAGAACATAAAATACTACCACACAAACAAACATGATGTATGTATGTATGTATGAGCAACCGCTAAAGAACCCACCTAAAATAAAAAAATACCACCTACAAACATTCAAACCACCTACAAACATGCAAACTCTACAAA